TAAAGCACTGGTTGAATTTCAGTATGAGTAAATTATAATTAAAGCATTAATAAAACATTGCATGAATGATTTTTTAAATCTTTATAGACAGAAATTACCAAAATGTTATCATGCCCTAAATAGTTAACAGAAAAAAGACATTCTTCGAGGAGTTAGTTGTGACTACTACACGGGAAAGATAACATTAATTTTGAAACATGATCTGTTTTTTCTGTACAGAAACCAGAATAACTTTTATCTGAGGGTAACTCCAGCTTTTATTGTGTATTTATGTATTTTATCTATCTGTAAATAGAAATAACTTTAACCACTTTTTAAACTTTTAAGCACATGTTGAAAAACCATTTATATCAATGGCACCTATCTTTCACTGCATTCATTGGATCAGATGCCACACGTGGAAGTAAAAACCTTTTTTTAATCAGTTATTCTCCATGCAATACCCACAACAGAGAACTGAAGTCGTGGGCTGTTGTAGTGCACTGTGAGGCCCAGGACCATTCAGACAACTCGGTCATTTTCCAAGTCCATTGCTTTAGCCGAGCCACCTCCCTCTGAGTCACTCTGCTGACTCTTCCTCTGCCATACCCAGCTTAAATCCCCCACAGAAACCTCTTCTTTTTTCAATACCTGCAGAAGTGGGCAATAGTGATGCTGTTACCTGTGCAAGAGCTTGTCCTCTTAGCCAAGACCATTGCCTTCTTGCAACACAGGAGAGAAGACCTCAGACAGGATTTGGCCGACCGTAACTTTGGAGCTGGAAGTGTGCAGGGCATTTATTGCCCCTGCTTGAGTCCCCCAACCTTTGTGACGTGCCCTTGTCTTTTCACTGTATTTAACAGTCATTGACAGGCCTTTTCTCCTTGCGGTTTGTGTAACCACTTTCCCTTCCTCTCCTGCAGCAACATGTTACACAATTCAATGGTAGACTGACAAATTTGTTTCCTTTTGTTTTAAACTATTCTGTCTAGGTTCACTGTGGTTTTCCTCTTTCCTCAGACCATTGATCAGACCTAGCCAACTTGTGTTTTCCCTGCAGGGACAACTTTTATAAGCATTCTGTTGCCTTTTGTGCCTTTTTGTGTTTCATTGCATTCAGGAGGACATGAAGCAACCAGACACACCTGTGATACTCAAGGTGCAGTACTCACAAAAGAGCTTAACCATGTTGTCCATGTTGTTCTTCCATTCTTAAGCATTCCTAGCATTCAGTTTCTGTTTGACAGTTAATGAATGTAGGATGTTTTTGAAGAACTATCCACAAGACTATCCTCTCTTCTGAGTGATAACACTCTGCACATAGTTGCGTGCATATCATTAGAACTGTTTTTCCTATGTTTCACTTAACAGCATGGAAATGAACACACCATTTTATCAGCAGATCACTTGGGACCTCAGCAACTTCTTATCCTTAGTTGTAGTTTGGCTGTCAATTATCTCCAATAACATCAGCAAATGCTGCTCTCCCGTTATTCATCCCATTTGCCCACTCACTCATGAATTTCCAGAGCAGAACAGACTTCTCATCCTGGGAAATTCACCTATTAATCTCCTGGTTGCTATGAAAATTGTCCATTGTTCCCTTTCCCTTCCCTTTCCCTTCCCTTTCCCTTCCCTTTCCCTTCCCTTCCCCTTCCCTTCCCCTTCCCTTCCCCTTCCCTTCCCCTTCCCTTCCCATCCCTTCCCTTCATTGGTTATTAATCTTTTTACCCCACAAAAATATGATTTCCTTTAAGAGTACTACAACAAGATTGAGAGCTTCATGGAAAGCCGAGTATGGTAATTAATGTCTCACAGGCTGTAGTATGGTGTTTGTAAATGAACCAGTGGCTTGTATCAGCTGCTGCAGAACAGGCTGAGCTCCCCGAAGGTTATTGCCAACAGCTGCTTTGGCCTGAGATGCCACCCCTGGAAGTCTCTGTGCAGGAACTCTCTACCACACTTTGCTCCTGAGTGACTTCTCCAGCTTGCACTGCAGTCTGCTGCCTCATGTCTCCTCCAATGCTATCAGCAGCTGCTGCAACCACAGGCAGCTGCAAGAGACTGCTGCCTGCTGACGACTGGACACCCTTCTGGCACACCCATGGCTGAGGTCCATTTCCCAGGGTGGAGAGGAGAGCTAGGCCATGAGATCCATGCACTCGCTGGTGGGACTGCATTGCTCAAGGTGCTTTGCTGCAAAAGAAGGGCTTTCAGACACCACCGTGTCAGACACCACCATCAAACATCTCAGTCAGAGATAACATCTGGTCTGCACCATCAATACACCACTTCCCATGCATACTCCTCTGCAGAGGAGAGTAATTTCCTTGTACTACAGTGGCACCTTTTTGGGGGCTGCTCTCAGCCCAACTGAGGAAGGTGAATCAAATCCATCACAGGCAGCAGGGCACCGTTTGTCACCTTCTGGCATGATTGCCAAAAAATCTTTCTGGTGGCAGTATCTTGTCCCCTCACCTACTATAATGACTATTTCTACTGGCTTTCCTCTCCACATAGCTAAAAAGTAGTAAAGAAAAAACAAGGATTTAGGGAAAAGAACGAGAAATAATAGCAGACCACAGAGCAAGGCCAGAGTCTGCTTCCCAAAACATCTCCTCTGCAAGAACTGGGCCATGATGACAAGTGGTAAGTGGCTGCCAGGAGGACTACAGAGGTTGCTGGGGCAATTTTCAGGGAACATATTGGACAAGACTTTCCTGTGCAATGGAAGAGCACCGATTCACAGAACTGGGCTCCCCTTTGCCAAATAAAGGTGTGTGCTTTCATGTGGTGTGGAAGTTTTCAACTCCTTGTCCCCTCCACAGAAGACAGCAGCTTTCACACAGCATGTGTGATCAGAGGACAAGGAGAAAAGGCCAGGACCACCACATGTTGCAGTATAGCCCTGTCCATAGCTAAGTGGAGCCTTATCCATTGTGTCTGCCCGTCAGCTTGGAAGTGAATCTACCAGCATTTTACTATTTACCATTTTACTGAATTTACCAGTCCTTATTTCCTGTCAAGGTCCTAAACCAGAAGACTTTTATTATTTATCTTCAGCAGATGAGAAGCTATCACAGAAACAAACTGTTTGTTCTGCTACATCAGCTTAAGCGTCTGGCTATAAAAAGCCCGGTTCTACTTTCTTTCAAGACTACCAAGTAGCAGTGCAGGCAACCCAACAACCCAGCCTGTGGCATGAGTCCCAGGGTGACAATGCTCAGCTCCCCACAGGAGGCTCCCAAGAAAAACTGCAGCAAGATGACTAGGCAGCCCTACATGCCTGCCTGCCCTTGGCAAGGCTGTTGTAGTCCTTCTGTTTGACAGGTCATTATGTCAGTTTCTGACAGAAGGCTTTGTTGTAGGTACAGGCATCTTACAAGTATGTTTGACGATTGTTGGATCCGGGTTGCAACTCCTTTCCCGAAGTGCAGCTTCCACCACTGAAGCAATCTGCATGCCTATCGCTCTCCTTGAGTTGCTATTACTCAGTCAATAACTCTGTCAAGAGGCACCTTACTAAAAGAATGCTGTAATTTGGCAGCTTAGGGTCAAACCAGATACATTTTCACTTGGAGTTTCTGAATGCTTCACCCTGCATCACCCCTCTCGAGCTCTCTGAAGATCTCATTACTAGACACTGTGAAGCAGCGGGGCAGGGGCAGGAGGGGTACACCTCACTCCAGCACGCTAACGGCCCCAGCCGAGCGAGGACTACCCAGAATTTCCTCCCTCCCTCTCGCATTTTTAGGGACGTTACAAATACTGGGCGGCGGGCTGGCGGGCTGGCTCTCCCCTCTCGCATTTCACCCCTCGCTGCTCGTAACGCCCCGTCTTTGGCCGGCGGCCGCACCCCGACGGCAGCAGCCAGCCTCACCGGGGGTACCCCCCACGGCCACGAGTGAGTGGGTGGGTGGCGAAGGGGCGAAGGGGCGGGGGCAAGCGGGGTGGGCCGGGGGCCGGTAATTCCGGCCGGAGCGGCCGACGAAGCTTGAGGGGGGACGGTGGCGGCGGCGGTGGGAGCAGGAGCCCGGCGGAGGGGAGCAGAGAAGACTGCGGAGGGGGGGGCCGGCCGGTGGCTGCGGGGGCCCGCCTGCCGGGCCAGCGGGAGAGGCACCGTGCCGGCCATCCCTCCGGGAGGTCCCGGTTGCCGTGTAAGCGGGAGAGGCACCGTGCCGGCCATCCCTCCGGGAGGTCCCGCAGAGGCAGGGAGCGGCGGCGGGGGGAGGAGAGCCCGGGACTGTGAGTAGCGTAGTGTTAGCCGTGTGGGACGGTTCACCGGGCGGACACGTCGGGGTTGTTCTCGGGTGGCCAAGGAGACGATGATTTTGTCACTCCGGAAAGTTCAGGCGGCTGCAGTAATGCAGATTTGCCGACGGAATAACGGAGCGTGAGGCGGGGATGGAGGTCGGGAGCGCTGGGAGCCGACGAGGGGGAAGAAGTTAGTCTGCCTTTCTTTAACGCGCAAGAATTAAACCAGGCGGGAGCTCTTCTATGCGATATGCATATGTGCTGCTTGGAATTACAAAATACACTCTGATAGCTAAAATCCAGAAGCCAAGAAAAATAACCATTTGTCAGAGGCTTTTCTGAGGCTCTAAGATGCCAGGATATTCGCTTAAAAAAAAAATCTTTTAAAGTTTATTTGAGTTGCCCAAGACATTGTTCTGCAGCAGATGTTTGTTGTCTTAACTTTATTTGCAACTAGTAAAGTTCAATTTCAGAGTGGAAATGCGCATTGAAATGTGCTGCTGGTCTCAAATGCCTTTTCTGTTCTTAAATTTAGCACTACAAGGATGTGCCCGATAAATTACATGTGTTTACTTATAATCTAGAAAGGCTTTAAAAATAAGCAAAATATACAAAAGCTTGGCTTCAGATATGCATTCTTGACTTTCCCTTTGCCTTTCTTAAAATTGTCCAAGGCATATGGCTGTGTGTGGAAGAAAAGGGAGAACCACAATGTGTGTGATGGTGGTGAAAGAGGGTCCGGTCTCTTTGGTCAAATCTGTTCGTGGATGTTTAGAAGGCAGAAAAATATGATTTCCAACTGAATCACAGTGAGTGTGCTAAACACATAGCATTGTATGTTCTCATGTAATCAAAAGTAGGAAGTTAAATCCTATTCTTACTGGTCCTTTATTGTCACTTCTTGCTTTGACTTCAGGATATCATGAAAACTGAGAGCAGTTAGGCTCACTATTTCGAAAAAGGAAATATCTTATTCTTCCAGCTGTAAAGTACCCAGTGACTCATGAGATGGTGAAAGCCTTCAGGTCCCCATGGGACTCTCACCAGAGTGCCTGCTGGAAGCAGAGAGTGGAGATGTACTGAGGGTGGTTGCTGAAGGACTTCGGCATCCCCATTATCTCCAGTTCCTCATTGCCTTCAAGCAGTGGGAATTACACATTCCCAGAGGAAAATTGCAGGTTGACTCCAACTGCCTTACCCAAGGCGTTATATGTGGGGAGCTGGCGATAGGTACAGCCCTGAGTTTCTGCCTGTACCACTGTGTGGTGGGGATGGAGGGGGCAGTGGAGGTGTGCCTTGCCATAGGGCAGATCAAGGGTCCCTGGCCTACCACACAGCATTGCCCTTTTCATGGCATATGTGGCGCAGGGACCATACAGACTCTGGTAGACCCCAGGAATGTGAGCCATGGTGGAGAGCCCCTGGGCCAACTTGGAAGGCTGCTTGACCCTAGTAAGATCCTTGACCTCTGCAGGAGACTGCACTAACTACTGTGGAAACCCCAAAGTACGGCAGTGGGTAGGGGCACATGATGGTGCTCACTGCTGACCCCAACTGCTCTCTCCATCCATGGAGTAGGGAGGACAAAGAACAACCAAATAGCTGAAGGAGGCTGCTGAATTGTCCTCCACATGATCGCAGTTCCTAACATTGTATCACTTCGTTTATTAGAGTAACGCAGCAAATGCTGTTTTGGCTGTTGCCAGATTGCCCCTGCACTGCGGATCTTTCTAGTGGCACCTGGTGGTGCAGTGGTAGAGATGGATTTTCTGGTTTGCTTTAGAGGGAATAAAACTGATTTCCAGTGGTATTGAGAGCCAGAGGTATTGAGGTACCTAACAAAGCAATGATCAACACACAACATGCCAGACAGGCTCTTCGGGTCCTTTTTTTTTAATAGTTTGAGCTGAGTCCATGCTTTGCAGCTAGTGGCTAGTCATCTGTACGCATCTGGGACAAAGAGATATTGAGGAGTGAGTTGTAGAGCTGTCAGTAAGCAGTGACAGAGATATCCTGGAGTTGGCTGCTGCTGTCTTGTTATTACCATATACAAAGAACTTCAATTTTTCTAGCTGTTAAAAAATGAATGTGCTTTCTGAGTTACTGGCTACAAAGGAGGAAACAAAAAAGTAGTATCGCTGAAGGATATTACCTGGAAATGCTGCTGCCAGAAGACAATAAATTTTAGTTTGTTACTTTATTATTTATATTGACTGTCAAGTGGCTTGTGAGTGATATTCATTCCCTGAGAATACTGGTGCATAGTAATGTTACTGCCTCCACTGCCTTGCCAGTAGCCTGCCAGAGGTGGCAAAGATTTACTTTTGTGATACTAAGTTTACTGTAATAATTTTAAGAGAAGTAATTATGAACAGTGGAAGAGACATTGTATGATTTCTCATCATAGTGAGTGCATTGTCCATGCCTTCAGCTAGGGGAACTGGTATAGCACCATTGCTTTTAGCAGAATTGTGGCAGTTTACAGCTGCCGAGTTCTGACTGATAAAGTCCTAAGTCTGGCATACCATTTTCTTCACAGAAATATGTTTGTCCTTTGATAGACCGGTAACACAGTTTGCAAAAGGCTTACAGAACATTTATTTTTTTTGCATGTGGTGCTCTTAAATGATAGAATTCTCTCAAGCAGCCATCAGCCCATCTGGTGAGCGTTGCTAGTTTAGCTATCATTAACAAATATTTTTCTAGTTAAATATAATTGTTTATTTTACAATGGAAAGCACATGCAATTCATATGGACAGTGGCATTTTATTATAAGCCGATATAATGAAAGACTGTGATAGTTTCTGTGTTAACATCGTATAGATTGTAACTGGCTTCCAATTAGATTCAACCTTAGCTGAGGTGAAGTTGTGTTGAAGAGCTTCACTGTTAAAATGCTTCAGAAAAGCATTGCTTCTGAAGCAACAACTTGAGGGCCCAACTCTGCTTGTGGAAGACGAATGAGACACTCACTGTCATCTTCAGAGCAAATAAGACCAAAGACACCAAGCAGCAACTGTGTTTCTTGGGTAATATGTTATCTCCCAGCAGATCTCTTCACACAGTAGTTTGTACCTAAGAACTAGAATGGGGAAACAATAATAATAATGGGTAAATAGTAAATTGTTGTCCTTGAAAATAATTTTTAAACACCCCAAATGTACTAAGGAATTCAAGTCAATTCACTGTAGGCTTTTTATCAGATTACTTATTTTCTGAAGGACGGAATCCAAGAAAAGGGAGGATGGGAAAAAAGGGTGTGAAGCATCTTTTAAATCCCTTTATATTCATCTGGAATGTGGTTTCCTCCTTCCCTCTTCCAGAAGGCACTTGAAAGTGCATCTCCCACTTTTCAAGTGCCCCAAACAGAGTGCTAGTACAGTAGTGCCTCATATGTTTTTGTGATCTTCAGAAGCCTATGCATAGAATTACAGAATTTGGGCTGGAAGGGACCTTAAAGATCATCTAGTTCCACCTCTTCTGGATCAGGTTACTCAAAGCCCCATCCAGCCTGGCCTTAAACACTTCCAGGGATGGGGCATCCACAACTTCTCTGGGCAACCTGGTCCAGGGTCTCACCACTCTCACAGTAAAGAATTTCTTCCTAATTCTTTTCCTAATCCAATCTAAATGGTTCCTCTCTCAGTTTAAAACAGGTCCCCCTCATCCTGTCACTACACTTCCTGATTAAGATGCCCTCCCCGTCTTTCCTGTGGGCCCCGTATAAGTACTGGAAGGCTGCTGTTTTCCAATGAAGGTACTTTCCAATGAAAGACACTTCTGTATTAAACATAAGCCTTTTGATGGTAAGCCTACTCCATTGCCTAGAGTAATCAGATATTCCTTGGGATGTACAAGCTGCAGGCTGAAAAACATTGGTGTGCTCGTCTCTAGCAGAGGTTGAGATCTCAAGTTCTTCCCTTGATACCCATCCTTTGAAAGTGTCTTTCATGCGTTTGGGAAATGCTTGTAACCCTTGAGTACATAAATGGTAACATCAGGAGCTCTAGCTCTTTAAGAGTTCCCTAAACTAAGCTATTTCATTTTGGACCAATGGAAAGTTTCCTCCCATCCAGCACAACTCAACAAACAAACCAAACTTTACAAATTTGGTTCAGATGGAACCATTTCTCTGCTCCTCCCCATCCTGCTATGGTTAGCAAGCTGAAAAATTTATTATCTGTTCAGTCTCAAAATATATGTTAGGGGCACGAGCACTGATTCTCATTGGAGCATGCAGCAACTAAACTGTAACATTTCCAGTAAAACACTAAGTGCTTCTGACATCTTCTGATATTTTTACAAAGCTGTGCGTATCTTTTCCAATATTTATATATAGCAAAGGAAAAAAGACAGCTAGGAGGATCTGCTGCAAAAATGCAATGTATCAAAGTCTGTGGGAAAATGTTGCAGTTAATCCAAACCATAACTTAAAGAAAAGCAGAAGTAAATTGAGCAGGACAATTAAAGTCAGTATAAATATTTTTTATTTAAAAAAAAACAAACCCAATAACATTAAAAGTATATCTTGTATTCACACGGAAAAGGAAAAAAATAAAGTCAACCATAAAGAAAAATGTTGCTTAGACAGATTTGACTTGCTATGCCTATTTTTCAAAGGGTAACAGAAACCAACTAATTTTAATGGGAAGTAGGATTGGTTTTATAGTGACTGGCTTCCTTAGTTGTAAATAACTTATTTTTTAACTGTTAAGGATGGGAAGTTATTTTAGGAATTGGAAACATGCACACTGACAACAAGACTTGACACCAACTTTCTCAGGCTCGTTACTACCTTAAGTCTGCATGCAGAACAGGGACAGGCTTAGAAAACAGTGTGTTTGCCCTGCTGCTGCTTAGGCAGTGATGGGGAAGTGGAGTTTTGGAAGCACCACGTACACTTAGGTCTTCTTGAGGAGTGAGCTGGTTGCTGTGCACACTGGGACTTGCTGGAACCGTTTGCTAATCCTTCTTGCTGCTCCTCTGCATTTTTTTCAGTCTGGAAATCTTGTAAGGACAAACAGCTATGAGCAGTTCTCCACATTGACTTCATACTTCCACAGCAAAGCTGCATCTGTGCAGAGCATGACCAATGTCTTACCCTCAACTACCTCGAGAAGGGTGCAGCAATGCTAGACCTTGGTGCCCTGCTGTAGTCTGTGTCCCTCTCACATCCTAGTTTTATGTTATGGCTTGAGCACCCATGAAGGCTGTGGGTGATACGGGGACAGTGAGATTTATGCTACATTTGTTGTTTTTATTTTCAGAGCCCGGTTTACGAGCCACTCGGCTGAATTAATATGCAAGGCTTGCTGGAACTAAGGATACCCACTGCCTGCCCAGAAGAGTACTTGGAGGAATGGGCCTTGATCTCCCTCTTGTGGAAAATTATCGGAACTGAATTCTTGTGATACTAAAGAAGAGAAGTCCAGCATCAACAAACAAATGATGGCAGCAGTTACCGTGCCACCTGATGCTCTTGGCCCTCAAGTAAATGAAGAGATGGACTCCCTGATTGTACTGCATTATAATTACACAGGAAAGCTTAGTTTAAGGGAAAAGGCAAGTGATAACACTATTGCATTTCTGATCCTATGTAGTTTCATAGTCCTGGAAAACTTGATGGTGTTGATTGCCATATGGAAAAACAATAAATTTCACAACCGCATGTACTTTTTTATTGGCAATCTAGCTCTCTGTGATCTTTTAGCTGGGATTGTTTACAAAGTAAACATTCTTATGTCTGGGAAGAAAACTCTGAGCCTGTCCCCCACAATCTGGTTCATTAGGGAAGGCAGCATGTTTGTAGCCCTGGGAGCCTCCACTTTCAGCTTACTAGCGATAGCTATTGAGCGGCATTTAACCATGATTAAAATGAGGCCTTATGATGCAAATAAAAAATACAGAGTGTTCCTTCTCATTGGTACCTGCTGGCTTATTTCAGTTTCCTTGGGTGCCTTACCCATCCTGGGCTGGAACTGTATAAGCAACTTACCTGATTGCTCAACAATTTTGCCACTGTACTCCAAGAAGTATGTTGTATTCTGCATCAGTATCTTCATAGCCATTTTGGTTGCTATTGTCATCCTTTATGCCCGTATCTACATCCTGGTAAAGTCCAGCAGTCGTAATGTCACTAACCACAGTAACTCAGAGCGGTCCATGGCTCTCCTGAGGACTGTTGTGATCGTTGTTACTGTCTTCATTGCCTGTTGGTCTCCACTGTTCATCCTTTTCCTCATTGATGTGGCCTGCAACGTCAAGGAGTGCTATATCTTGTACAAAGCCAACTGGTTTATTGCTCTGGCAGTCATCAATTCTGCAATGAACCCCATCATCTACACGCTGGCCAGTAAGGAAATGCGTCGGGCTTTCTTTCGCCTTGTTTGTGGCTGCCTGGTGAAATCCAAGGTGGCCAGATCTTTGCCTATTCAGCCCACACCAGATCACAGTCGAAGTAAATCCAGTAGCAGCAATACCCAGAAGCCAAAGGAAGATTTCTCACAGATGAATATTCCCTCATGTACCGCTGAGAAAAGTGAATCTTCATTTCACAACGGAAACTTCTGTAAGTAAAGGACTCCTCAAGTCAAGTACCTTTCTGTGGCTTTTAGGTTTAAACTACAAGTGTAGTTTAAATATTTATGCTCTTAACTCACAGGGGAAAACACTAACTGCTTACTTTACTTTGAAGACTGATTTATCACCAATCATTTGCTTTGGGTGTTCATTCAGTTACACACCTGATTTGGAAAAAACCTTTCATGCTAACCAACAGCCAATACGGAGTCCATGCACATCAATGACACTGCACCACAGTGGCATTGCATGATGAGGTTGCATTTGGCACTGCCTGATCTTGCAAGGCATCAATACAAACAGCATTCACTATACACTGCTGATGATTGCAAAATGAGCCTGATTATTGCTGACTGGGAGAAAGCTCATTACATATGGTGGTGATTTGTGGTATCTTGCTGTTATGTTAATGGCCTTATATGTATGTGGTATATATAGCTGTATATTTGTACAATTCCTTATTAAAAAGTCATTGTTTGGTAAAAGTTTACAATATGCTAAACATTGTATTGCAGTATACAGTGTAAGGTGACAAATTACACAAATAGATAGATGTGTTTCAATGGGGATATTTAAAAATATATGAAGTAGTAACTTTTAACTGACAGGAACTTTAACATGTCATATCAATCTAGTATTTTTATTTTTTCCACTCCTACTCAAACTTTTTATGTTTAGTGAAAGATAACATGACAGTTGTCACTGTGACATTTCACAACTTATTTTAAACAAGCAGTAGTAAATAACCATTGAGAGAGGCTGTATATGTTCTCTATTTAAAGTAGTTAAAAGTTGACCCAACAGTACATGTGTATTAAGTGTATGCACTGTCTCAATGCATATATTATTACTTACTGTTTCCAATGTATTTAAAAATGTATGTCAAATCTATGTAAATCTGTGTACATTGTGAATGCACTACCTAAGATGAGATTCTTCAGTTCTGAAATGGAGACATAACATTTCAGAAACTAATGAACCACAAAGAGGTCCCTGTGGAGTTCCTTCTTTTCTCTCCAGGCACTCCCACAACATGGGATTGTGTTAGAAAATCTCCAGCAACTGGGACCACATCCCATTTTCTGGCAATGGGATCCTATGCTCCTTCTGTTTCCGGGCACTTTTGCAGCTACAAGAAGGAAGATGCGGTACAACAGGATCCTGCTGAAGAGCATATCTTCATGTATACCTGACCCTGCCTTGGATCTGGAATAAAGCCTATTCAGTTTGGAAGACCTTACAACTTTTCTGGAGCCCCAGACTTACTCTTTTGAGAGGCTGTTCCGGAGAAACCTGTATGAAAACAATTTTATGGATCATCACTGCCTTACCAGTCTCAGTACAGCATGGTGTTCAGCATCAAAGGGATTACCTGAGATCTAGAGCAGTTAAGACTTCATAAACATCTGTTTTCAAGTCCCCATGTAAGTGGCCTGTGGTACTTCCATCAGTAGTACTTCATGGCTGGAGGCTTCAGTGGAGGTTGATGGGAAATTCTGAGATGAGTTCCCATTATCTTTCAGTAAGAATGTAAGCATGCAATTTTATTGAGCTCTTTCAAAGATTTGTGTTGTTCAAACCACACTGTGCCTTATGCACAATTAGAATTAGTCGGGGCTTTTTAAATACACAGCCTGGAAGAGCTCATCCTTAGCTTTACTCTGGTCTTAATCATTTAAAGCAGCAGCATTAGACTCTTCCCAAGTATGTACAGTTTATAAGTTGTGTAGTGTGTGTAGCTAAAGCTTTTAAAATGTAGATGTTTGCGTTGTGGTTACGTTTTACAAGTTCACAGTCTGCTTGTAAACATTTTATGCTCTTAGAAATGTGTAAGAACAAAGAAAAACTGTATTTGAATTAAATAACTGTGAGAGTAGTAAATATGAAATAATTTCAACCAAAAATGTTGATAAGTGGTGCACTTAGAGAAGAATAAAAAGCTAAACCAAGCTAAGCATGATATAACTATATGAACTGCAGATACAGGCTGGGTCAGCAGCTCTGTAGCTTTGTGAGAATTAGAACTAGCGACATTGTATTGGCATGGCTTGCCTACATTTTCAGATCTTACAGTGCTATTTGGCTATATTTTCAGTGTGGAAGTTCTTCCCTGAAGTTGTGTCTTTGAAAACTATGAGCTAAAATATTTGTATACTTCTAAATGTTTGTTCATGAAGTGGTGGCACATAGCAGCATTCCTTCCTATTGTAAAGCAGAAAGGCCTTAGCAGGACAACAGTTTGAGGAAACATTGTGGCTGACCCCACACCAACTCTCATGTCAAGGGTGTTACATGATTCTTACTATTTAGTTGAAAAAAATGAGTATATTTAGTAGCCAAAGTCCAAGAACACAAACATAAGAGTAAGTTTTAACATCGGTTTGTAGCTAATTGACAGAGTTGATGCAAGGTACATGTAATGCAAGCAACTTCACAGCTGGAGGCCATGTCAGTACAAAAACCTTTCACTCTACTTTGATTTCCTTCATTTATTTTGGAGCTGTGGGGATATTTTGTTAGTTCATTACCCAGCTGTACTTGAAGCAGGGTAATCATGGGTTCACATGTAACACTGATGATATAATTTACAAAGTACTTATGACTGAAGAGGAAAAAAAAGAAAGTCAACACAGTCTTCAGTGGGTACATCCCACTGGGACATACTAGGTAAAGCACAGATTCTGGAAAATTTCAGAGCCGAATTTTAAAGTAGAACAATCCTATGACTTAAGAGAAGTGGACCATAAACAACCAGGAAGATGTCCTATCCTTGAAGCTGGAAAAAGATGGAGAATAGCTTTTCTCACCCGAAAATATTAGAAAATTCCTTAAAATACATCCCAGAATCTAAGTTTCTTATTATGTAGGCTGATTTGAACATATAACAAACTGAATCATGTCTCCCTTTCCCAATTGGTTTTACATGAGCAAAAGCTACAAAGGAGACTAACATTTAATTAATATTATTTCATAAATTGGAATATTTATTATGGTTCTGGATTACAAAGTAAATGCAAATCAAATCACCTAAGAAGAAAAAAAACTTTCACAAGATGCTTTCCAGGAATCTTTTGTTGCCAACAGAGTTGCCTTACAGAGTATTTTCAACTCATTAGGTATCATAAGCATTGTGAAAACTTTTAATTAAATCTCAAACCTTTAAACCAAAGTTGTTGCATAGCAGTCATTTTTCAAAGAACTGTAAAATGGGTTTTGTCTCTCTATCGAAAACATGCACTTAAACTTGTGCCTGAAAGTAGTACCTGTGGGAACAATATGGTGCCGAAGTCAGCAGGCTCTGTCTCCGCTGCCCCCAGAGCTGAAGAAAGGCTTTTCCCCAGGTTTTCTGGAAGCAGACTTGGTCGGTTGGCTCTCCTGCTCAGAAGGCCGTCTGCTCTGGCAGCACTGCGTGCAGCTGCCACCTTGGGAATGCACATTTTACAAGAAGCAACATTAATTAGGATGTCACGCTGCCTGCAAGGTTTGGCCTTTCCAACTGCTCGAGTATGGAAATGGAAAACACATATTGGCATAAAGTGCCAAAAAGCTGGGGTCCTGAGAGCAGCTGGACTGCTTCTGCTGAGCAGAGCTGTGTCACTGTCTGGCCCAGGTGGTGCCACCAACACAACCAAGAGCACAGCTCAGCCCCTTGACTTTGCTGGGAGCTGTGGATCCCCATGGCCACCCCAGGCCTGGGGACACTCCCTTTTTATAGCAAAACTCATGGGGAACAGGCATGGCAGCAGTGATCAGGGGTTTCTGCTTGGTCACCACTGAGCTGTGAGGCTTGCCAGAGCCTTGAGGCCTCCTGGCACCTGATGTGATCTGGAGGCACCACGCAGAGGCATGCAGAGGTGTGCTGTCCTGCCCTCAGAGCTGCATTTCTTCTTCCCAAGAGCAACGTAAACTCCCAGAGCATCCCCAGACTCAGCTTTTCTCCAAGTGTGTAAGAGGGAAGGGCCTTTGCAAGGAGAGACTCAGGCAGTGGAGGACAAGGATTTGGGGAACATAACCCAGCTAAACTTCCTTCTGATACGGAGGCTTTCTCCGCTCCACAGTACACTGAATAGCTGCTCTTGCGTGGACCTTGTCCTTGCAGTCACTCTTCACTGAGAGACCATGGAGTTGTCTACCCTTGTCTATACTGACCTATTCAGTGTGCCAAGTAGGAAAGCTTGCCTCTTCAGGAGAGGCCCAGAAAGAGGGCCTGTACAAGTGATTTAAAAATGATATTTGTCGAAAACGAACTTGTGAAAATCAGTGTTGCCTATGTCAAACTAAGTGGAGCTCCTCTGGTGTAAAGTCAGTGTATATAAAGACAAAATCCTTACATGCCATTTGGTCCTCTGATATTTTTCATTCCTGTTTCTACTGAGATGGGTAGTTCACTGACTTAGTAATATTCAATATCTAGGTAATCCAATATCCTGTAGAATTTAATTTATTCTGCTATAAAATGGGCATCCCTTCAGGTAAATAAAAAAATTCCCTGAAAATAAATTAGGCATTAGGTAACACAGGCATAGGAGAACAGATTCGAGCCCACTTTACGTGCATTTTGATTTGATAGTAGGGCTCATTATTTTATTACTTTGGTTAATCAAATACAAACTGAATAATCAGAAAACAGAAAAGCGCAACACTTATATTCCAAATTCTGTTGCTCAAGGACTTCCTCAGAGACAAAATCGGTTTCTATAACCAGAATACCACAGTCAGCAGACAGGCAAAAACTTGACATTTACAAAAGTCTGGAATATAAATGATCACAATATTTCCACAAACATTATTTCTCCTGCAATTCTCAGTTAGAAATGTTTCTAAAAGTAATAAATAATAATAAATAACAAATGTAGAGTCAAACTTCTGTTTACAGCAAAATAGTAACTTTTTTGTTTTGTTGTTGCTGTCCAAACAATGCAAAGAAAAACATTTACTTCAAAATAAGAAACCTGGCTACTTTAAAGGTTTAACTCCGCAGGACTTTACAGAGAAGCAGTTATCACACCAATCCAGCCACAAAGGACACAAATAGATGCCAATTATAATCTTTATATTCTTCATTAATAAAAAATTACACTTACTTTGCCTGGGTATGTTTGGTTGGTTTTGCCTCAAGGAAGAAAAAGGAGGACTGCTAGAAAAAACTATTTGACCAGTATATTATTTCACTTTCTACATAAAATATAAATCTGCATCTTAATCCCCAAATCTGAGGCTACCTTCCTTTTCTGAGTCATCTGTGCTGTGTCCCACAATGTGGGGTAGCAGAATGAGTCACCCAGCTTTAGCTTCTTTCTTCTTTGGTTTCCATGGCCTGTTCTGTTGTTAAACAGGGTTTAAACATCCTATATTTAGCTTTTCCCCTATATAGTGCTTTTGCTAGAAAAGTGTATCTCTGAAACCTTATCCCCCTTACTGAGATAAAAAAAAAAAAAAAAGCCCTGCTTTTTCTCAGTGAAAGTATACAAGATGCTTACGTTGGAAGATGCAGGGGAACAGATCAGTGCCTGTGAACATAAATGTCTCAAAAAGAGATGAGCGGTAGGCATTGCCTAAGTATTTTGCAGTTCCCCTTCCCAGATGTTCTGGCTTAACTCTATCAACCAGTCAGCACGTTTATAATTTGGCAAGAGCTCTCCGATCTCATTAGTGGTTTATATGCCTATTGACTCATGTTTCCAGGCTTCACATTTCTTATCTCTGGTGTCTCCTCTTCCAAGGCAGCTTTTCACTCCCTATCCAAGTCCCTGGTTAACTGCAGGCAAACTGTATATCCGTGTTCTTTTCCGCAGGCCTGGCCTCACTCCAGCTGCACCCAGTGCAGATGAGAGCAAGGTCTACAGACACTGCTGTGAGTAAGTAGAGTTAAGTACAGCTGAGCACAAAGCATTTAGTGGGAGTTTGCCCATATCCTGATAGCTTTGAGCAAGCGTAGATTTGTGGAGAGTGCAACTCTAGGTTTGGGCAAAAAGACCACGCAAATCAACATATTTTTGATGGTACACTAAGGTAAATCTGAATTTGGATTTTAAACAGACACATGTTAAAAATATCTGGAAGATAAAAAGGGAATTATGTCTGTTACTTCAGCTTAGACTTTGTTTATGCACAATTACTTTATACCGAATCTTGGTTCAGATAGATGTACTCCAGATAGACACTGGATGGAACAAAGGCTTTAGAGCAGAGCAGAATTCGTAACCTGTTGCCAGAACATTCACAAGTTCCAAATTTCCCCTTTAGAGCTGTGCATTACCTGGAGGCTGCAAAACTCTGTTAGTTTTCAAATGGAACATTTGCTACTTACAAATATCTAAATATGCATCAATTCTATTATGAACATATTGCAGCTGGCATCTGGCACTTGATATGCCAGCAGCAGTTGCACTGTGATATAAATTTTATAAATTCTTCTCATCTTATTGCACAGCATGATGCCTGGGGACCATGATGATAAGAAATGTGAGCATATTATTCCTCAGAGGAGAAAAAGAATGAGCCCGGGATACAGAAAATTCAGTGCTGGCAGGTGACATTACTAGACTGCTAGTAAATGTCTTCTTCCAGTCATAGTGCACATTTTGTACAGAAATCCTGGTCCCAGGACTACGTAGTTTCTATTTAATGTGTGTGGTAGAGAGGTTTCTGGCAGAACCGTCATTATCTCCCATTGTGAATCCTGTAGGATGTGAAGTGGAGGGGAGCTGCTGTATAACCATCTGCCCTCACCTGGTGTGCAAAGCCCTGAGCAGGGAGATAGGCAGTAAGCCATAGAAATTGCATCTTCTCCTATGGTCTCCACCCAGGCATGGCCAGTTTGAACGTCCTCTTCTTGCATTAGGGAAAAGAACCTGGGCATCCTCACACTCAGCAGATTCCCATTGAAGTCAGAAGGTAATTTAGTTTCCAAATCACATTTTCTACCTTTGAGGTTTCATTGCTTCTGAAATATCTGAAAGTTTAGGAACAAGGCTGTACCTCAATGTCCAGTCTATTGCTGCCAGCCTCACTGGAAAATTTTATTAACCTAATAATTACTCTAGATCTGCAATAAAATGAATCAAAAGCATGTGGTTCACTTTTCAAAGTTTTTTCTTTGAAGGAATCAAATGCATTTTCATTGCCCCTAGCTGCAATAAAATGAATCAAAAGCATGTGGTTCACTTTTCAAAGTTTTTTCTTTGAAGGAATCAAATGCATTTTCATTGCCCCTAGTTCTCGTGGTTGCAACAAAACTGGAATCAAACTAATAATCAGATAGGACTCAAAATCAATGTAGATAGCCTTGCAGGATATTGAGAGTTTGTTCTGACTTCTCACCTCTCCCCTGGGAAAATATCAAAGAACACCATAATATAGTCTAATCTCAGTGATTTGTATTGAGTCTAGTGAATTTATTCTTTCAGTAAATTCTCAGTTCTTGAAGTCTTGATACTGAATTATCACCAGCAAGTGTCTAGCCCTTGAGATTGCATAAAAGAGAATAAAAACAGAAGGTAAGGGGACTCAAAACCAAAGGCAAACATTAAAAGGCTCATATTATCCTGTCAGCTGTCTGGTTTCAGCCAATTGTGCAACATTTGAGCCACCTCATAACTTCTACAACTCTTAAATTGCTGGCAGTGTTGGCTCCTCACAGAAATGAGCCAATGAGCCTTGCCTCTCTAGCAAGTTCAGTTCACTCTTCTTGAGCTCAATGTTGAGCTCTTTAACAACAATAGTTTGGAACTGGCTATACAGTTTTTATACCATTTTCATATGGGGGAAGCCAAATTACCAAAGTGACAGTGACAAAAAGTAATGGCAGGATCAACAAAGGGAGCATTGATTGGCCACATACCTTCCCTTCTGGACAGCTTTGAGATCATTTGGTTCCCAGTGACTTAGAAAAGTCTCTGGATCATTGCACCTGGCCAGACAGGATCTCTGGGCCCATTGTGGCAACAGGGCACTGTCACAGCCCAAAAGTGCTACCTAGAACCAAACTGCATCTGATCAAGCTATATGTAACCTTTGCATCATCAATGAGCGTGTTAAGCTGGGCAAATGGGCTGGGCTGACAGAGCAGTTTAAAATAGCCATGTTTTCCTGGAGGCAGAGTTTGTGAAATGTAGTCTGCCGGATTTAATATTTCTGTCAAGCTGTTTCACTTCATGTTTCCTTGCCACCCGCTTCAATTTCCAAAACATGCAGCTAGGTGGCTGCTGTTATTAAAGCTACAGCTAGGATAATGGTAAACATTTTTAGATGTTTATTTCAGTATATGTTTAGTGCTTTCATTCATATCCCCATGTCTTGTCATATTTTTCCAGGCATACACTGACGGCGTATTTAGGAATCTAAAACAGATATAGGGAGCTGGTGGGATTTTTAAAGGCACCTAAGGGAGTTAGGCACCTGGCTCTTACCAAAGTGATACATGACATTCAAAGTACAAAAGAGGCCTTTTCTTACAGTTAGCGATTTCACACTAAAAACTTTACAGGACATGGCTGTAGGGAGGTGGAAGAATGGAATGACAGAAGTTATATATGATAGAAAAGGTGGCAACCAAGATACTTCAACATGGAACATGGTGAGACATGACTGCTCTTAAATGAAACAATTTTAATTTGGGGTACAAGAACTCCTGCTTTGGAGTATAAGAACTCCTCGTCTTCCCTTGCAACTTCCAACCTGATAAGAGGACAACCCAAATTTTAAGAATTCCACTAACCTCAGTACCATACTAATTTGGGTTGCAATACAGCATTTAATTTCTTTTCTTTGCACTCAGCTCCCACTCAGACCTAGAAATATCAACTAATAACTATCTGCAAGAAAATTAATCGGAAACATTTGGCTCACTAATGTCTTAGTTTGGCTTCTGATTACAGAATGAAGCACATTTTTATTGCATGGATCACATGATTAGTCTTAGTGCCTCAATCATTTTCATTCTTGAGATCATCGGCACCAAACTTCCCAAGTTGCAACTTCAGCATATTTCAAAGCAGAAGAAAATTATTGCAGAATTTTAATATAATGATCCTACCTGAATGGATTCTAAGTGAATCCTTCAGCCAGTTTGGTTGTAGTTTGACAAATTTTTAAACTTAGCAAATTATTAAACCCAAATCAAATTTTAAGTACATTTAAGTATTGTCTGCTTCAGCACAGGCAGGTGCTTAACCTAGACTTAACCTGCTGACTCTTGGCCTTTATGAATCAAGTCTGAAGATTTGATTTCAGATATTGGTGTTAGAGAAGACCTTGGAATGATGAAGGCTAAATCCTGACTCTGGTACAAACTTTGCCTTTACAGGAACTATGTCTATTGAATTTGGCTTTTGATAAGCTTCATAAAATAGGAAAATAACTTCATGCAGTGCTTGCATGTGAATAGTGCAAACCTTTCTTAAAACATTTCACAGTACGTAAAGCCAAGTACATTTATGCCAGAAATGCATCTTTAGTGTATGTGTATTTTTCAACTTGATAGTTAGAGAAAAGCAGTATATTTGCAATACCTGTCACTTGTTGAATGCCAAAGTCAAGTGAAGCCTTGGTTGGTAAATGCAAGTGATGTCATTGTCAAAACTGACACCAGAGTCATGATAGTATTTACTATTTCTAAGAAGAAAAGATTTTTCAGATATTTCTTTGACCAACAATGCACATCTTGCATTCATCTTATTAAACACAAGTTATTTGAACTTGTCTAATAGTTATGTAACATCTCCTGGGAGAGTGGTAGTTAAGGACATCTAGATCTTCACCATAAGCAGAGAACTACTTATAAATAACCTTAGCACTCAAATTAATGAATTAAAGTTACAGAATATTGTTATATGTGATTAGAAAAAACAAATGCACACACCTCATACACAGAGAGATGACACCAAATCATTGTTAAAGCAAGATACAAATGTTTTGAATAACATCATATAAGAATTCAAACTTGACATCAGAAAGATAAAATGCTTTTGATATCAGTGACACTGAAAAACACTTTTAAAAATCATTTTATGCTTAATTTCTGAGTTGGAATACTAGTTGCTGAATTCAGACTCCTTCCATTGTTAACCAGCATAATCCACCATTAGTTGTGCTTCTTAGGTAAAATTGGCAATAAGATTCCTAATGTTCACTTTCTCAAGAAATTGAGACTGTCGAATTCTATTTTTATCTGAACAGTCACAATTGGCATTTTTCTTCTGGTAAAAACATGTGTCATAGAAGATAGTTCTATATTGTCAACAGACTGACCTGAAAAATATAGACTGTTTTTATATATTAATGTGTATTTATACACTATCAATATTCACATTAGAGAATCTGAACAATTTTATTGAAATTAGTTTTTAAGAAAGCCTTCAGCTGTGACTTCATGTCTACATAAAGCATTGAGAATTTTCAAGTGTATTGTGTGAAGCTGGGCTTCTTAAACTGCAAGAAAACATACTGGCGAATATGTGAATATGCTTTTTTTTTTAATATACGTTTTTTTTCAGATCTGCAATTTCCCTTGTAGCTTGCAAATTATAAAAACTAAAATAATTATCTGGAGTCAGTGTTTCCTCTCAGCAGGCTGCTGCAGGCAGAGTTCACTCCCAGAAGAAACTATTGGCAAATTATTCTTGAGATGATGATTGATGAGATGACTTATGCTGTCAAAGACACGATCTTTTGTACGAACCTTCAAAAAAAGGATGCAAGAAGATAGATTAAAAAACAAAATACTTTTTCTCTTAACTTTCCACTAAAAGTCTCTAAAAATAAAATGCCACAATGAATCATGTTTCAGAGTTTGATCTCTCTACCATCAAAATCAGTGGCAATATGGCATTTCTGGAGTTTTGTTTCTGTTTTGTCTCTTATTCCCTCTATTCTCTCCAAGCAGATACTTTGCATGCTACCTATGGACCAGTCTACTGTTATTACACTTTCTGAATAGGTCTGCTTGAAAACTTTGTATATGTCAGACTAAGTCAGGTTTTTAGGTCAAATTTTCTTCAAGAGACCACCTGCTTCGTTTAAGTGTTTTCACCTTTTTCATTAGAAAGAGATGTTCCTCCAGAGATGCCAGAACCCAACTCTGCTCTGTGTGTTTCAGCATCTTTGTGCTTTCCTTAACAAATACCTTCTTCTTCAGGTGCTAGAAAATGCCTTTCCCTAAAAGCGATCCAGCCACCACATGCGCTTGGCTTGATACACGGTACACCCCAGTTCCTTTGAAACTGGAACACCTCAGGGCAGGGGACATCATTTGTCTAGCCCATTTTTCATCCCTCTGCACCAGCCTCCTGCTAAGTAAATTATTACACCCATGATAAGAGGAAACAGATATTGCAAGGTGAAATGGTCAAAAATCAGCACAGACCAAAACCTAATCTATATCACAAAATAATCTTTAATTATTTAACCACACCTTCACAAAACATTTCCTTCCTATGTTTAAAACAAGTTAGCTGTACAGCTTCCACAGGCAGAGCAGAGGTCCTCTCAAGCTAATGTCATGCTGCAGTAAAGATTTGTATTGGGATGGCTTGACACTGCCTCAAGGAAAAGCCTGTGAACACTGCTCTGAAGTGAGGCGTGTCATCTGCTTTCCTTGAACTTTTCTCAGAAAGAGAACAGCTTTTGTTAAAACTTTCCAGAGCCAGTTTATGCTGTGGTGGGCACCTCGCTTGAAATATTCCAGTCTTCATCATTAAGTTCTGGCGAAACTGCTAGAAACTTAGCACAGGGTGAAAAAAGAACCAAACAATTTGAATGGTAAGTGATGCTATCGGCTCAGTCCGGATGTAGCTGTGTCACTGAAGAAAATGAACAGGCTCTCCCAATTTCTGAAACATACTCTTTTAAAACATAACTTTCTGTAATTATTGAAACCTATATTTTCAAAATGGAAAGACATCTTTAAAATAGCAGTACCTTTCTTTAACTATAATTAAATTAACACATTTTCAGTCTATTCAACTCAGCTGAAAGTTTTCTCACCATAGGCAATATGAGAGAAAATGTGTGGTGTCAGAAACCTCCTGTGTTATTGAGGAATCAGAACTTACAGTTCCTTCTGGGTCCACCAAAAGAAGATGCTTGGCTTGTCCATTGTGCATGCCTGTCAGCACATAAGAGCCAGGATTCGTAGTGCTCTTCCTCACAAGGAAGTCTCCACATTTCTTTAACAGCTGTTCTGCTTCTTTCCTGCTCATTTCTCCTTGATACCAAGGCTCTGTACTCAGCTCTTTCGCTACAGTCCAGTCAGATGCTCTGGATAAAAGAGGACTAGTGCACTCCGTAGAGAGGGATTTACTCAACACAGTGTCAGACGTTTGGTTCTTGAGGGCATCTTCGAATGGTTCTGGTTGTGGAAATAGGAGCAAAGACAAGATCTTCCAGAGGTAAATCATGTTACAAAATGGTGACATTCCAGTCATTTTTAACAGGATTTTTTGTGTTACAGCCACTTCTCTTTATCTTTATGAAAAAAATGAGGGGAGATATACTGCTAGGCCTACTGATTTATGGATTATATTAAGATTGAGGAGTCTAATATTTTAAAAATGTATGCTATCCACACAAAGCTGCTGATAAAAATCAGAGCAAACCTTGGCAGGAGCTTTTGAAAGATTGTGATTTTACTTCAGTAATGGCTACTCTCAACACTTCCATTTATATGCCCTGGTAATGGGCAGAGCTCTCCTTTTGTCTTACCACATATGCCAGACACTTTTATTTAAAATAAATTGCATAATATGGGTACCCAATGTCATTATACTTACATCTCATCTCTCTTCAAGCAACTTATTCATTTAAAAGTTATCCATTACCAACTCTCCAGCCCAGCATGTCTAGAAGGGATCAGCTGCCCTTATCACTCAGCCTACCCCTGGCCTCCACCTAGGAAGGGGACTTTACAACATAGACACAGTCTAACACCTTTACCGTGATTTACCTTAGCTGAAATCAGCCTCGGGGAAGCATCCTTTAATCCTCAGCTAAATCCTGAACAAAGTGTTACTTTCTGTAGAGTGGAATGAAAAGATGTACCATTACAGGTCTCAACAGTCTTACAGAAACAGTAAATAGGTCAGCGTATGCTTCATTACATGCTGTACTGACCTATTGGAAGCTATTTTCCTTTGCAAGATGTTCATCTGGTCAACTAGCACATATTAAAAAGAGATATTGTTCTGTGACTTATTAAATGACATCTGCAGAGCAATTCCATGAAGCAATTCACTAGCTGTAAACAAACTGCTCAGATATGAGGAGTACCAAGCCATGTTTGTATGGGGCCACAGAGAGCTTAATTTAGCTCAGAGAAATAGGGTAAATACAGCTTGATGATACTCAACTAATTCCCAAAACCAGTTTATGTATGTCTTCACTACATTGCAGTCTACACAAAGCCCAACACATGTTTAGCTTGACAAACCACTTAGGACTAGCTGACACATTTTTTAATACTACTTTTGCCCAATGATCCAACAGTTAATAAAGAGTAATGAAGGCTGGAAGATGGAAGATGAGAAATTAGTTTTCCCAATTTTAAGGAAAAGAATAAATACAGCTAAGCATGTGCATGCTAGAAATCAAGGCTACCATTCGCAATTTCAGACAGCAGAATTTTCTCATTTCAGATCTATATTCACAGATCATCCTATTCCCTCACCCTTTCTTTCAATCCAAAATCTCACTAAGCTTCAGAAATAGATCCATATCTGAGGAAAAACATCCCAGGAAGACAGTTTTATGTATAGTGAGATAACTGAAATACAGATACGATATTTTACAAATAACATTTGCTTTGTCTCACTGCCTTTCAATCACACAAATTGAATTAAATAAATCATGTGTAAGCAATTGATTAGACATAGCAAAAATAGAAAAACAAAGAAAATTTTCTGTACCTCAAACTGCTTTCCCTAATTTCCTGTTAAGTATCTCTTCAAGGCTGAGAACAATGTGTATTGGTAGCACCAACATCAAATTATAACTGGTGATTAAACTATCGATCTATGGCTATGACTCTAATTTTGGAAAAGCTGACTTCAAAGTTGGAACAGATAACTAGATAGGATAGTAGGCCTATCCAGAGCAAGGCATAACACAACCTTTTAACTTCCCTCTCAGCATCCTTGTTGCACAAAGCTTTTGTGGTATATGTTGTCTTCTTAGTAACTCCTTCACAGGACAGACTGGAGCTAATCCTCCAGCCTTTCACTCCTTCACTTTCCTGCATGACAAGCCTCCTGATGTATTTTCCTTCTGACATGCCTGCCTGTACTGCTAAGGACAACATAGACTGCAACTCAGCTCAACTCAGATGTAATACAAACTAGCTTCAAATCTCTGGCCACTCTTATTTTAACTTGATCAGATATGAAACCACCATATGAAAATACTACAATTCACCAGAACTACACCAGGAATATTAAAATTTTGAAAATTTGAAAATTCTGTTTATACAGAACTAATACATAAACATATTGGGTTGCTTGTTAGAAAGGCAGTGAATAGGAAGGGAACTCACTCATGTCAAACAGATCTTTTCCGGGGCTGCTCTCTTTGATATCGTCTGCTGTTCCACTGATGGTGCTTTCAGCATCTGCCTGAAGTGCCAGTAGAGCCTCTATATTTATATGCTGGGTGTTCACGTATGTTGGCATCTCTGCTGTTGCAGTTACTTGTGATTTCCCTTCCAGCATACTACATATATCCAGAGATCCTAGAAAATTCAAGACTTTTTTATTTCTTTTTTGTATTTGACAGAACAGGGCTGTTATAATGACCATATAACATCACACTCCATTACCACAGATTTAAAATTCCCTGGAATGGAAGATGTAAAGTCAAAAACTGCAGGATTTAGTAGCAAGAAATGTTTATGTATTTCAATAAGGGGGTGTAAGTATTATGTATTTCAATAAGGGGGTGCTATTATTCAGGAGGAAAGGAAAATTTTGTAAATAAATATTGTCAGTTCCAAAAGCGATATTCAGTTGGGAAGTCATGAGAGAAGAAAATGGAATAAAATCCTCAAATTTGTGCAGTTTAACAACAGATAACATATTATGGTATTTGAAAAGAAAGTGTCCCTAGAAACACAGCAAAGCTGTCATGTAAGTGTGGAAGGGGGTGAAATTTCACACACAAGTTTTGATGTGATTTGCTTAAAATTCATCAACAACAACAAGATGAACACTATGCATTATTGGCTATTTGTGGAGTAGAGATCATGTGCAAACTCATGCGTCGTTCTACATTTTAAAAAAAGCTTCTGACTTTAGGGTCTTCCTTTGGAAACTCCCATCTTGCCTGCCCTAGGGGGTTATATTTGCAGAACAGACCATGAAACCTGCCTTTAAATACCATGGGGGTTTTAAGACATGGTGAGCTAGACAGCTGAAAGTTGTCTATCTCACTATTGATAGTTCATAACTCTATTTGTGAACTGCTCTGCAAAAGATAAAATTTTATGAAGGTGTGCATTTAATAATTTATCCAGAGGTAATTACCAAATGCTTTTCACTGACATCAATGCTAAAATTCAGACAAAGGAAACCTATCAACAAAGTGCAGTTCATTGCCCTAAGACTTTGAGTCATCAGACTTTCACATGCTTTGGTGACCCAAGACTTCCTGTAGTATTACAGCTAAAAACTAGCAAAACTCACCTTGCTTAACAGGTCCATGATGCAAATCTTCACTGAATTTGTCTCCTAAGTGATGACTCTGATAATAGATTTGCTCTTCTCCCACTCCTGCTGCAGACTAGAATGGACACATGTGCAAAGAAATTACCTTTAAAATGCTCATATATATTATGAGTGGCTCTGACAATTTCCTTGGCTGTATTCAGTGTTACTCTCACTCCTCATTTCTGATTCATTATAGTGTCAGAATATATACCTCACAAATGCATTTGTGTAGGAGTAAGACATTACCAGTGACCTTCATGTAAACTTCTCTGCTTCCTGCTTTTATTAACCCCTACAATCCCAAATGGCACATCATATCCTCCAGTACATCTGTTTTCACATAATGAGTTCTGACAAACTATGCCTGGGAACAGTATTCCAGGCACTCCCAGCACCCTCCAAAGTCTGAGCTGAAAGACTCACATTGGTACCAGGGAATGCATTTGGGGTACTGAAAGGAGGATGCTGTCCACAGACAAGGCCCCTCTGGATTTAAGCAGAGTTGTGCTTGATCTAAAAAAATTCTCTTAGGTGGCTATGTTGACACTGCAGCCAAACTTCCCCCAGCAACGCTGTAGAAATATGCAAGCTGACCTCAACATGAGGTGGAAAACCTACCTAGACACCTGGCTGAATAGTGATGGCTGCTAAGTTATTAACATAATGAACTGTTAGTAACAATAGCGCTGGATTTTTCTGCATCAAATCTTTCCCAGTTAGTGTGCATTATTTGATACTCTCTGAAATACACATGGTTTATACAAATGTAGTAATGATCAGTGGTTTTCTCTTCCTTGAACCCGTGTAATCTTTTAACACCATGAGGAGCTCACCTCCTTTTGTTTGTTCTGAACCTGTCTAATTTATTGCCTCCTAGATCTTCAGTGCCCATTCAAAAGGAAGCTGGCCACACATGAAGGGCCAGCTGTAGTCCCAATATCCATTTTAAAATGCACATTTTTAAAAAATTATGGATCCATCAGCAGGAGGGCAGAGATGCAATTGCACTGACCTGAGCTGCATCTGCAGCAGTAGGAAGTCTTGTTTTGAGCCTGGCATCAATGAAGCCACCAGGGGGGGGCATTTTATTTGGGATGTTGTTGTAATAGGGATGTTCTGTTGTCTCATTATCTTCTTCCATCCATGGCTCATCAAAACTCTGCACCCTATAAGAAAGTGAGTGCTTTATTTTGCCCCTCGCTTGCAAAGCACTTACAGATATTTACAGCATGTTTAGACTACCTGTCAGGGGTTCACTATTGTATGTTATTTTGACAACTCAGCTACCATCATAAGTCAGGAAGCAATAATGGTTCACATAACAGACTCTCTCTGTTTAGACGAACTTGATCTAAACCTCCTCTGCAATGAATTAAATCCTTTATGCTGAGTAAAGGATGTTTTTACTTAGCTTCAAAGACCACTGTAAGCTGCATTAATAAACAATTTTATTTTACCTTACAGTAGCATTTGATTGATTAAGCCCTAAAACTTTGGTTGATCTATAACTAGTATAAATCTGGAAGAGCTTCACAAAGTCACGGATCAGATATGTGGTTTAGGAACATGGTTGAGAGTGTCCCTTGAGAGACAGTCCTGAAGGGCAGTCCTGAAGGGCATAGGTGCCCGGGAAGGCTGGTCATATTCAAGGAGGAACTCTTAAAAGCACAGGAGAAGGCCATTCCCAGGTCCCAAAAAAAAGAGCTGATGGGAAAGAAGACCAGCCTGGCTGGACCTCAGGAATAGAAGGAAAGTTTACGACCTCTGGAAAAGGGGGTTGGTAGTGAAGCTATGCAGGGGGAAATTTAGAAGGGCCAAAGCTCAAGCAGAACTTGACTTGGCCACTATGGTTAAAGATAACAAGAAGAGGTTCTTTCAGTATATCAATCGAAAAAGGAAGTCTAGGGAAAATGTGTGCCCACTGGTGAATGAGGTGGGCGCCTTAGTGGTGGAAGACACAGAGAAGGGGGAGTTACTGAATGCCTTCTTTGCTTCAGTCTTCATCGCTATAACTGTCCCTTATGAATCCCAGACCCTGGAGACAAGAGAGAAGGTCTGGAGAGAGGAAGATTTTCCCTCAGCAGAGGAGGACTGGGTTAGAGACCGCTTGGCCAAACTAGACATCCATAAGTCCATGGGCCCTGATGGGATGCACCTGCAAGTGCTGAGAGAACTGGCAGATGTTATTGCTGAGACACTCTCCATCATCTTTGAAAGGTCATGGAGAACGGGAGAGGTACCTGAGGACTGGAGAAAGGCAAATATCACTCCAGTCTACAAAAAGGGCAAGAAGGAGGACCCAGGGAACTACAGGCTGATTAGTCTCACCTCTGTCCCTGGGAAGGTAATGGAGTGACTTGTTCTGGATGTCATCTTCAAACATCTTAAAGAACAGGAAATTATTGGAAGTGGTCAACATGGATTTACCAAGGGTAAATCATGCTTGACCAATCTGATGGCATTATAAATTGACATTATAACTGGATGGCTGGATGAGGGGAGAGCAGCAGATGTCATCTACCTTGACTTCAGCAAAGCTTTTGACACTGTCTCCCACACAATCCTCATTAGAAAATTAAGGAAGTGTGGGATAGATGAGGGGGCAGTGAGGTGGATTGAGTCCTGGCTGTGTAACAGAACTCAGAGGATTGTAATTAATGGAGCAGGGTGAAGTTGGAGGCCTGTAATCAGTGGTGTCCCCTGGGGGTTGATACTTGGCCCAGTCCTGTTCAACATATTCATCAATGACCTGGATGAGGAGACAGAGTGTATCCTCAGCAACTTTTCTGATGATAGCAAACAGGGAGGGCTGGCTGACACTCCAGAGGGCTGTGCCAGCATCCAGCATGACCTGGACAGGCTGGAGAGCTGGGCAGAGAAGAACCTAATGAGGTTTAACAAAGGCAAGTGTAGGGTCCTGCAACTGGTGAGGAAGAACCCCAGGCACTAATATTGGGTAGGGGTGGACCTGCTGGAAAGCACTTCTAAGGAGAAGGATCTGGAGTTTCTGGTAGAAAGTAAACTATCCATGAGCTAGCAATATGCCCTTGTCACCAAGAGGGACAATGGAGTCCTGGTCTGCATAAGGAAGAGTGTGGTCAGTGGGTCAAGGGACATCATTCTTTCCCTCTGTTCTGCACTGGTGAAGCCACAATTGGAATACTGCATCCAGTTCTGGGTTCACCAGTTCAAGAGAGACTGGAGAGAGTCCAGCGTAGGGCAACAAAGATGATTAAGGGAGTGGAGCACCTCCCTTACGAGGAAAGGCTCAAAGAGCTGGGACTCTTTAGCTTGGAGAAGAGAAGGGTGAGGAGAGACTTTATTAATGTTTATAAGTATCTAAAGGGAGGGCTGAAGAAGCATGAAGCCAGACTCTTCGGTGGTTCCCAGTGGCAGGATGAGGGGCAATGGGCACAAGCTGGAACAAAGGAAGTTACATTCAAATATGAGGAAAAACTTCTTTATGGTGAGGGTGACAGAGCACTGGAAGAGGCTGCCCAGGGAAGTTGTGGAGTCCCCTTCTCTGGAGATCTTCAAGATCCATCTGGATGCAGTCCTGAGTGATGTGCTCTAAGTAATCCTGCAGGTGAGTTGGACTAGATGATCTCTAGAGGTCACTTCCAACTCCGACAATTCAATGATTCCAGGATTTAACAGTCATTTACACAAGTCTAAAGTGAGTACATAATGCTTGCAGATTAGAATAGTAGCATTTTATATTTACCATACACACATTTTACTCTGATATAAGAGATTATACTGGGGTACCAACTCACTAGGATTTATACTAATGTTAGCAAGCATATAGCAATCTGTGTCAAAAACACATATCACCAGAATGCTCTATCCCAGCCTTTTAAACATACACAAGCAAACAGATTTTGTATCCTCCAGAGAATAATGCAGTCAAAACCTCTATACAATATATCACATTTCTAAAATCTTTACCCTTGCTAATATCAGAAACAGTGAAACGTCACTAGTCATTTTGGAAGCCTAGCAACTCTAGCTTACTTCATCTAAATTGTCAGAGCTGTTATGAGAGTAACAACAATGAGGAAATACCACAAATTACACCCGTTCTTGGCCATCCAACTCTGCCTACTAACTACAGTGGAAAATCAGAGAATCACAGAATCTCCTAGGTTGGAAGGGACCTTTAACATCATCTAGTTCAACCATAAAATAAAAACAAAAACAAAAAAACACCAAACAAAACACATACATCAACACTAAACCATATTCCCAAGCACCATGTCAATTCGTCATTTGAATATCTCCAGGGATGGTGCCTCAACCACTTCCCTGGGCAGCCCATTCCAATGCCTGATAACCCTTTCAGTGTAAAAATTTTTCCTAATATCCAACCTGAACCTCCCCTGGTGCAACTTGAGGCAACTCTTGTCCTAGCACCTGTAACTTGGGAGAAGAGACTAAGCACCGCCTCTCTACAACCTCTTTTCAGGTAGTTGTAAAGAGTGATAAGGTCTCCCCTCAGCCTCCTTTTCTCTAGGCTGAACAACCCCAGCTCCTTCAGCCTCTCCTCATAAGACTTGTGCTCTAGACCCCTCACCAGCTTCATTGCCCTTCTCTGGACCCATTCCAGCACCTCAATGTCTTTTTTGTGGTAAGAGGCCCAAAACTGGACACGGTACTCAAGGTGAGGCCTCACCAGTGCCAAGCACAGGGGGACGATCACCTCTCAGGTCCTACTCACCACACTGTTCCTGATACAAGCCAAGATACTGTTGGCCTTCTTGGCCACCTGGGCACACTGCTGGTTCATGTTCAGCCAATAGCTGACCGACACCCCCAGGTCTTTTTCTGGCGGGCAGATTTCTAGCCACTCTTAGAATGATAGAATCATAGAATTGTCCAGGCCAGAAGGGACCTCCAAAAGTCATCTAGTCCGACCTCCCCGCAGTCAGCAGGGACACCCTCAACTAGACCAGGTTGCCCAGGGCCTCATCGAGCCTCACCTTGAATATCTCCAGGGATGGGGCCTAAACAACCTGCCTGGGCAACCTGTTCCAGTGCTCCACCACCCTCACAGTAAAGAACTTTCTCCTAATCTCCAATCTAAATCTGCTCCCCTCCAGCTTTCTGGGGCTGGAGCACTTCTGGCAGCTCCCTCAGTACCTTCGGGTGGATTCCATCTGGCTCCATAGACTTGTTTGTGTCTAGGTTTTGGAGCAAGTCCCTCACCACCTCCCTTTGGATTACAGGGGCTTCATACTGCTACCAGCCCCGAACTGCTAGCTCAGGGGTCTGGATACTCAGGGGACACCCTACTGCACTACTAAAGACTAAGGCAAAGAAGGCATTCAGTACCTCAGCCTTCTCATCCTTTGTCATTATGTTACCTCCCATATCCAATAGAGAATGGAGGCTGTCCCAGGTCCTCCTCTTGCTATCAATATATTTATAGAAATTCGTTTTATTTTTTTTAACATCCGGAGCCAGGTTCAGTTCTATCTGGGCTTTGGCGTTTCTAATCTTTTCCCTGCATAACTTTACTTCACCTTTATAATCTTCCTGAGTGGCCTGTCCCTTTTTCCAAAGGCCATAAACTCTCCTTTTTTCCCTGAGCTGTGACCTTATCTCTTTGTTCAGCCAAATGCATGATCATTTCAATAAGTTCACTGTGAAATCCATATTTAGCACATTCTTTTAGAATGCCTGTGTGCCTTTCATATTCATTAGACAAGCCCTGCTTTGCTAATTCAGGAGAAATCTCCTTTTAAAGTATTTAAATCTAGTCTATCTCCAGCAACTTCGTCCACAGCACATTTTATTAAGTAAACATGAAGCTAAAGAAGGATGATCTCTAGAGGTCACTTCCAACTCCGACAATTCAATGATTCCAGGATTTAACAGTCATTTACACAAGTCTAAAGTGAGTACATAATGCTTGCAGATTAGAATAGTAGCATTTTATATTTACCATACACACATTTTACTCTGATATAAGAGATTATACTGGGGTACCAACTCACTAGGATTTATACTAATGTTAGCAAGCATATAGCAATCTGTGTCAAAAACACATATCACCAGAATGCTCTATCCCAGCCTTTTAAACATACACAAGCAAACAGATTTTGTATCCTCCAGAGAATAATGCAGTCAAAACCTCTATACAATATATCACATTTCTAAAATCTTTACCCTTGCTAATATCAGAAACAGTGAAACGTCACTAGTCATTTTGGAAGCCTAGCAACTCTAGCTTACTTCATCTAAATTGTCAGAGCTGTTATGAGAGTAACAACAATGAGGAAATACCACAAATTACACCCGTTCTTGGCCATCCAACTCTGCTTACTAACTACAGTGGAAAATCAGAGAATCACAGAATCTCCTAGGTTGGAAGGGACCTTTAACATCATCTAGTTCAACCATAAAATAAAAACAAAAACAAAAAAACACCAAACAAAACACATACATCAACACTAAACCATATTCCCAAGCACCATGTCAATTCGTCATTTGAATATCTCCAGGGATGGTGCCTCAACCACTTCCCTGGGCAGCCCATTCCAATGCCTGATAACCCTTTCAGTGTAAAAATTTTTCCTAATATCCAACCTGAACCTCCCCTGGTGCAACTTGAGGCAACTCTTGTCCTAGCACCTGTAACTTGGGAGAAGAGACTAAGCACCGCCTCTCTACAACCTCTTTTCAGGTAGTTGTAAAGAGTGATAAGGTCTCCCCTCAGCCTCCTTTTCTCTAGGCTGAACAACCCCAGCTCCTTCAGCCTCTCCTCATAAGACTTGTGCTCTAGACCCCTCACCAGCTTCATTGCCCTTCTCTGGACCCATTCCAGCACCTCAATGTCTTTTTTGTGGTAAGAGGCCCAAAACTGGACACGGTACTCAAGGTGAGGCCTCACCAGTGCCAAGCACAGGGGGACGATCACCTCTCAGGTCCTACTCACCACACTGTTCCTGATACAAGCCAAGATACTGTTGGCCTTCTTGGCCACCTGGGCACACTGCTGGTTCATGTTCAGCCAATAGCTGACCGACACCCCCAGGTCTTTTTCTGGCGGGCAGATTTCTAGCCACTCTTAGAATGATAGAATCATAGAATTGTCCAGGCCAGAAGGGACCTCCAAAAGTCATCTAGTCCGACCTCCCCGCAGTCAGCAGGGACACCCTCAACTAGACCAGGTTGCCCAGGGCCTCATCGAGCCTCACCTTGAATATCTCCAGGGATGGGGCCTCAACAACCTGCCTGGGCAACCTGTTCCAGTGCTCCACCACCCTCACAGTAAAGAACTTTCTCCTAATCTCCAATCTAAATCTGCTCCCCTCCAGCTTTCTGGGGCTGGAGCACTTCTGGCAGCTCCCTCAGTACCTTCGGGTGGATTCCATCTGGCTCCATAGACTTGTTTGTGTCTAGGTTTTGGAGCAAGTCCCTCACCACCTCCCTTTGGATTACAGGGGCTTCATACTGCTACCAGCCCCGAACTGCTAGCTCAGGGGTCTGGATACTCAGGGGACACCCTACTGCACTACTAAAGACTAAGGCAAAGAAGGCATTCAGTACCTCAGCCTTCTCATCCTTTGTCATTATGTTACCTCCCATATCCAATAGAGAATGGAGGCTGTCCCAGGTCCTCCTCTTGCTATCAATATATTTATAGAAATTCGTTTTATTTTTTTTAACATCCGGAGCCAGGTTCAGTTCTATCTGGGCTTTGGCGTTTCTAATCTTTTCCCTGCATAACTTTACTTCACCTTTATAATCTTCCTGAGTGGCCTGTCCCTTTTTCCAAAGGCCATAAACTCTCCTTTTTTCCCTGAGCTGTGACCTTATCTCTTTGTTCAGCCAAATGCATGATCATTTCAATAAGTTCACTGTGAAATCCATATTTAGCACATTCTTTTAGAATGCCTGTGTGCCTTTCATATTCATTAGACAAGCCCTGCTTTGCTAATTCAGGAGAAATCTCCTTTTAAAGTATTTAAATCTAGTCTATCTCCAGCAACTTCGTCCACAGCACATTTTATTAAGTAAACATGAAGCTAAAGAAGCTAAGATCCTTTAGCAGTCTTCTGCAATCATACTCACCTATCATGAAAAGTAGGTATCTTAGAGGGGCATCGCAAGTATTGCTTGAATCGAAGCTCAAACGCTTGTCCTATGGTGCTGATGACATCCTGAGCCAGGCCATCGCAGCATTCCAGTACATGACAAGCTACATGAAAAGATTTGACACATGCACCTGCAAGTTATTGTTTATGTCATGTTATTGTTATAACTATATTTTAGAAATAATTGTTTCATTATGTTATGCAAATTATTGTTTATGCACCAATCCATGACAAAAAACCCACAACTCAGGCATAGTTGCCCTATTCATAGTGTGTGCATTTGAATAAAACCCAAATCTGGCACAGTCAGTTCTAGGCAATGTGGTGTCTTTAAAAGTTAAATGAAATTGCTCTAGTGTGTAGCTGCAATAGACAAAGCCACAAATCAGTTCCACAACCTTAATAAATCCATAAAGACAGGAAATCTCATAAAATTTCACTTGCTATTACCTGAATGCAATAGATTATATAAGAATTCTGAGCTTTAAATTGAAATTATAAAAATATTAGTAGATGTATCAACAAAAAAAAAAGGTTTCTTGCTTTCCTCAACTTTATCGCCACTTCAGTTTTATGTCTAATCACCCCAAGTTTGCAAGCTCTTCACTTCCTTCAAGTTTCCAGAATTTCCCAAATTTCAGGCTGAGGGAGGAGCAGTAACTAGGACCCTTCTTAGATCCCAGAGCCTGATCTGATTCCAGTAATACAGAGGCCGGTACCTTTGCCTGCCTCTCTGTATGGGATCACTGTGGGATGACTGGGGAGCACTGACCCAGGACACCAGTTAACTCCAGCACTCCCCCATGTGTTGAGGAGAAGCAATAAGGAGGGAGGCTGGCAGTAAAAGCTCTCTTCCTATGGGAGACTGAGAAATCGTTATCAGCTTTATCAGCTTTATCTGAGCAGCCAAATCCATCCTGGTTTTAAATCAAAGAGTGGCTCAGAGGTATCATCTTTTGCGACAACATAAACAGGCGAACTCATAAAGCTTTCACCTAACAGGAATGTACATGGGTGTTAAGACCTGGAAACTAAAGATCTGAATGAACAATATCTTGATGATATTCAGAAAAGTCCAGGCAAGTTCATTTTTCATATTTAGAGTTAGACAAGCACATGGTCTATTGGGTAGAGCCTGAATTGGATTTGAAACTCTGGTTCTTTTCTAAGACCTCCCATAGTATGGTAGGATCTTGTTCAAAGTTACTAATTTCTATGCCCCCTGACTGCTTTAATAACCTCAATATAAATTCTTCAGCTGAAAAATCGTATTTTAGTATATGCCCGGTGTCCAGCTCAGTGGATTCAAGTGCTTTGGATGCCAAATAAGGATTGGTCATGGCACTTGTATGACACAGTTTTAGTTAAAGCAACTCAGTAGGTTTAACAACTGACTTCTCAGAGGATGATCTGCTGGACAGACTTCAGAAGAGGCCAGAATAAAGGGCCAAGAAGCCTGCAGTTATGCAGGTTTGGAATGGCAAGGGCATCAGGCTCTCTCTCCCTCAGCACCTAACGCAGCATGAGACAGAAACAATCACAGTGCCGCCCTGCTAAAGAGATCCAGTGATGCTCTTTTCACCTTATAGCATCTGGTGTGCTGATCAGCAGGCTGAGGCAATGCCTGATTCAGGGGAAATATCCTTAGCTGCATGTTGAAAGTGGATTCAGCAGCCAAAAACAGGACCTCCATGTGTTCAAAGACAGAGGCAGACATCCCTGGGCTAGCAGCAGGATATTTGCTGTTTACCTGCCCTGCACCACTGCTACAGGCAGTGAACAATCAGCCCCCAGAGAAGGCACAGACTTATCTTCATGAATGCGAACTGAAAGTAGTTAGCCAACCAAAGCTATAATGTTTGCAATGTATAACTTAAGTGGAGGTTTAAAGGGGCTATATTACTCACTGCTAAACCTGTCTGGAGCTGAAATGAAGCATGAGTCATTAAGCAGTTTTGGTAGATGACATAATGAGGAACCTGTTTCCTTGGATACGTGAATGGACTTTCAGTAGGTAGGAGATGCGCTTCTTGTAAAAGGATGAGAGGGTCTGGCTCACACAGAGATGATCTCTTCTGAGTGTTACAGCAGAAGATATTTGGCCTGTAGATTGTTAGATCCAGAGACCTTTTCCATCCTTGGGCAGAAATTAATTTAATATGTAAGTGAAAGCTGCACTACAGCATTGGTGCTAGAGTCAGTAACAGCAGCAGTAACATTTTCACTATATACACAAGTAAATTTGAACTCACTTCTAGAGTATTTTGCAGATAAGACAAAGACTGACATAATAGCCAGTGCTCATGAAAAAGGGCAATCCAGACTAAGACTTTTTAAAAAACTGTATGTTAATACTGGTCACAAACAAAGTCACTGATCTGAAAACCACCAATGTACACACACAACTGGGGAAAGCTCCCATGGAAAGCTGTAGTGCAGAAGCCTTAAAGATCACAACATGAAAGAATTTCGCATGGAACAACAGTACTTCATTGCAACAAAAAGCGCTTATGAGAAATGAGCTAATGATGACCACAAAAGAGAGTAAGAATAGGAAGGTGCAGACTCTATTATAAATTGCAGATATTAATACTAGATTACTCCAAATGATAACTGGTATCATCTGTCTTTTTAAAACAATGCAGGAAAATTAAAGGAAGAGGAACAGAAGCTATCTGAAGGATGGAGGATGTGCACTGCAGCTGGTAACCTACAGACTTCACTCTGTCAAACTTTTCCTTAAGAAAACTGAGAAATTACTTGAACTAAATACACCATAGGAAGACAATACCAGGTGCTTAGATGAATCCTCGATCTAGGATAGACTAGGTCAACAAGGAACAGTGACAGAAAGCTAAAGCTAAATACTTAGATATTAAGGAACATAGTCCATTGAACACTTTTTATATAAAATCCACTCACACAGGAACAGAAAACAGAGCACAGGGCTCTTTCAGATCCTACAGTCCAAACATCCAGTCTGCAATGCTGGCCTGCTGCATTGCTAGTGAGATCTCTCAGTACAACTAGATCAGCAGAAGGATACTGCTACAGCAGGTGGGGTGGAGAGAAGCTCTGCACCATGCAGCCTGCAGTCTGATGTCAGAGCCTTTCTAACTGGGGACACATCATGTTAAGACATAAAACATGGTAAAGAACTAGACTATCTCCCTATCTCCCACTCCACATAAGATTTCTAGGTGTTTCACTAATATTCAGCATATTAGTGTGCTTAGCGCAAGTATTATTTATGACCTAGTGCTCTCAAGTCTGGATATTTCTGCACATGGACACAATAGATTGTTGAGGTATGCAAAATCATTTGAGGTCACAAAATATGGAAGCTATTGAATTAGTTGTGCCCATGACAAGGGTTTTCAGGTTTGACATTTTGGAGTTAAAGTGTCTGAATTCTGCAGAAATCCAATTGGAACTGCATGAGTCTTTTTTCGGAGCTAGTCTTTTTTTCTGTATGAATCTATGAATATTAAATAGATTCTCAGGTACATTATACAATACTTTGTATCTAGCTTTAAGACCTAGTGATTCTTTCTGCATTACAAGTAGGAAAGTTTTCTGTACTTATTATTTCAGAATCTAATTTACAGGTTTTATAATTTACTTATATTTTTGAGAATTTGAACTGGATCTTAGTCGTTGAAGACAATCAACAAGAGGTTCCCTCTTCCTGACCAATTGCTCATAAAGCAATATAACCTTGAATAAAACTTCACCGAGAAAGACGATTACAGCCTCCAGCAAGCTGGCTCAAAAGCTCAGTTTGGTAAAGAATCTGATTCTGCCAGGAAGAATTAGGAAAGTACTAAGACTTAACAGATTGAGCCACCTCATCAGAAGACTTAATCAGAGGACTGCTTCGTTCTTGCATAGTGCTTGGGTGTAGGTGAGAGTTAGATGTTGCCTAAAAGCTCATGCAGCCAAGTAAGGCAAGCGTTTTGAAGAGAATCCAAGTGATATTTGAAGATGAACTGCAGGCAAGATCTGTTCCAATTTTGAGAACCAACTTGCATGTGACTGTTCCTTATTGCTACACAATCTTTCCATGACTCTGTCAAAGGCAATCCTCTTATTGGGCTGCATTTATTTTTTTCTGGAGAACAAAAGAAATCGACTGAATTATACCATGAATAATTCATGTTTCTCAAAGGAAAAAAAAGATGCCAAATAGATATTTCTAACTTACCTCTCCGATTAACAGGATCCTTAGCTACATATGCAACATAGTCAGTTGTATCCTGTCAAAAAATTAAAATATCTACAATGAATGCATAAAATCTTTGCACTGATTACAGCAAAAGATCACAGTCCAGAGTGTATATATTCCTGTGGGTAGACTCTCAAACGACATGTTTTGCTCTACAGTTATATACTACTTAACCCCCATAAAAAAGTTTATAGGTTTTGGTACTGATGCCACCACTTTGCTCTCTCCAGAGCGTGATATATTCCAGCAGAACTTAAAACTCTCTTCCAAGGCCTTTGAAAATCAATTAAACAAAATTTGTAGAAGTTGGGCTAGGCCTCATTTAGAAGGGAGTAAAATTACAAGTCCTCATCTTCAACTACCCAGAGATTTGGCTCAGAACACGAATATTCAACTGGTTCTGTGGCAGGAAGAGTGGGAGTAACAGCCCTGCTCCCCAGAAATACTGAGCAGTAGCATTTACTTATGTATGACAAGCAAGCGTGTTGACTTTACTGACTACTGTACCATATGGCACAGAGGTGCTCTGCTACCTCTGTGGCAGACGCCCAGGACACTCTCCTTCAGCCTCTGGGCTGCTCCCAGCCATCCCTGCTGCCACATGAGGCAGAATTTCTGGCATGAGCAGGCTGACATCTTCTCTGGGGATTTTTTGCTTGCTCTCCTGCCACCCTCATGCTCCTGTGCACAAGCAGCACAGATTTTTATCATTGTACAGATGAAACAGAAAGACCAGTGCTGGCACATCCAGAAAATTACACATATCCTTGATGCAAACAGGAAGTCCTGGTTAGATCAAATATTTCCTGACATGCCTGGCTAGCCAGATAAAGCTAAACTTTACTGAGGAATATATAGGATACACTACAGCAGTCTGCATAAATGTACCCATAGCCTTTTCAGGGGACTGATCTAAGACCATTGACAATTATGTCAAGATCCAATGTCAAGATCTAATGTCATAACAAACATAAACCTTCAGTTAAAAATAGAATTCTTGAGCTTAGCTCTCCCTAATACAAGCACACGCACACACCCCTACCCAAAACAAATCACTGTGCTGCATGTATATACAACTTCCTTACTAAGGCAGCCATATCACTTAATGTGCTATTGGAACGCAGTCAGACACAGCAGTGATGAGGCTGGACTGTAAAAAAAATCAAAGCAGAGAAGAATAGCCTTAGCATTTCATCCAGAAATTTCTAAAGCACCAAGTGGTTGGGCAATGACTTGAGCGGAAGTAACTATGAATAGCAACAAATAGTGAGTTGAGAAAAGTAGCTATGTCTATAGTAGCAAATAAAACAGAGCTAAGGTAAAGGCTGAGAGTTGTTCCACAGTTGCCCATACTGTTTAATTGTTGCTGCTCTCCCTTGCCTGGCTGTGCTGGTTTCCCACGCCATGCTCTGAAATTGCACATGCTGGGCATTGATCGCAAGAGAATATTGTGAGGGAAGAGAGTGAATGTGTGGCTGCAAATTGCATTGTGCTGTTTAGTTTTGGGGCCAGAAAACAGGCCACAGAACATTTATTTACTAGTACAGACATAGCTAATGGATACATTTATGCCTGAGTAAATCATAGATCTATCTCATAGCTAGCGTGGGTGTGAGAAACTGGAACCACCTACTCTTTATTTCATCTAAAGCTCTCAAATTCAAGCGGATTATGACAAACCAAGCTAAGATAGGCACATTTCACAATGGCTAAATTGGAATACTCCCATCAAATGGCTATACAGGGCTGGGTTGATGCAAGAAAAGTGGTCCCTGACATTCAAGGACTGAAGACAAGTATGAACGACCTATAATTTTTACCTCAAAGAAATTGCATTGCAGTGTTAAAATTTGGAGGAAGGGCTGAAATTGAAAAACTACTGCCTCCAGGGACCTCTGAGAGACCTGACTTAGACCTTATGAGATCTACCTCTCCAAAATTTCAGCAGGCATCTCCAAAAACAGGTATCTTGTCTAGCCAACTGGAAACAGCCACCTGAAATGACTATGGATGAAAAATACTTAGTGTATCATAAGCATGGGCCAAAGAGAGATAAAGCAGATCCAGAACAGTCTTGGCAGTGAATTAAAAATTATTGTGAAGTGGTGCATAAAAGGATTTGGTGGAGAGATTTTTAAGCTCCCATGTACTGACACAGTCAGAAACTATCTGACTCATTGCAAAGGGGAATATTGCATATATATATATATATATATATATATATATATATATATATATATATATGGTACTCAAGCTGTTCTCCAAGACAGTGGAACACTTCTCCAGTGGATATATTTTGAATCATTGAATGCTTAATTGCTGGCACGAATGCATGGCACAGCAGAAAAGTGGATGGGGTAAAGAGTGGGGGCAGCCTCACTCCTAAATAAAACAAACTTCAAAATTCAAAATAAAGGAAGCATTTCCTGAAGCAACACGGGCATAGGTCTGTGTTATTAGTTCAGATGGCCTTTCTCCATTCATTTAAAATTTCATATGAGGAGATGAGCTTATGGGCTGGAGCTCAACCGTGTTTGAGAGATACAGTTTGGTGGTGGCAGTCTACCAAGTGGAAATCATTAAGGGCTGATGAAAATTCTGTCTGGATGAGCCTCAGATGGTTTAATAAAGCTGTGACTTAAATCACATCCTTGCATCTTGTCTTCTTCCATGTACACACAGGACAAAGGAACAAACTCCTTTATGAACAAACTCTTGATTTAAAGTTGTGCCAAATACTAGCCCACTGAGACAAGCCTTCGGAACATCATTAGATACTCATACCTACCCTCTTCACCACCAGAATGAGATCACCATGCAGTGATCTCACAGCGAACCTAACTTTACACTTTCACTGTCTCTTGTAGGCTCCCTCATAGAATGCAACTTGATTACTCTGGTAGTTCATTGATTCAGTAGAATGATTTTTATCTCTCTAAAACATTTGGAAGAGCTTGTTTACTCCAAATCCAATCTCTATTCCTGCTTCTCTTTCCTGATAAATCACTCTATCAGTGGGCAGTGTGCAATGGTGTTTCCAGGACTTAGCATTTCGGATGGCAGATGGTGAGCAATGTATCTTCTTACGGAGGCAGGGAACTGTGCTCATCACTCCTCTGTCCACTTCAGGAACTGTTCATTTGCAGCATCCATGGCAATCTGTTGTATTTCAAAGCTGCTGTTGATCTATTTTTTGCTGCCCAAATTATTATTATATGGTGTTCTTTTCCCTTCTGGAACTGAACTTGCCTGAGCTATACTAAGAATGAAGTTTGCTCTTCTGTTTTCTGAGGATAGTGAAATGAACAGAGAAAATGTCAAGGATCTTCAACTTAACAGAGTTGAACTGAGAGAATTAACTCACAAAGCAGGCTACAAATTGCCTTACCTATAGTACCTGGCTGATAAATGACAGATAATCATATGATGCAGGAAGAGGCAGACTCATTCGATTAATTGAGGTTTAAAAGTTTTCAAATCTTGAAGGTAAGAGGTGGGTGAGCAATGTCTCTGTTTTATAACTCTCCCATTGCTTCCTGAGTGACAAATACTTTTTAAGCACATTTAATATGCTTTTGGAAGGACTACTTATAAAAACAGGGAAAAGCGCAACAAGCAGGAGTCTGCCCTTTGATCCAAATGAACCAAATATATAGGTATATCTGAAAGCTCTGCAAAACTAGAAAGATCTGGGCTTTTTCTGAAAGTCCATCTTCAAGCTGCATGAGTGTAGTGAATATACCTGAAGGCAGTTTTCTCAATGTCCACTTAAAGATGAGAAGAAAAATGAGAAGAAAAAACAGTCTATTACTGTAAAAAGTACAAAATAAAAAACAGTCAGGACAAAAATTCACATGATACACATATAACTATGCTACATTAATCTGAAAAACTGAGACCTGCTTATCAGTTACTGTATGAATGCTCACAGCCCTTGGATACTTTTCATTTTAGTCATTCAAAGAGGAGGATTTATGACTACTTGTCAGTTGTTTCCCTCAAAAAGAATTTGATGGCAACAATCAAGAATAATTTATGAAACAAGAAACAGGAGCTATTGTGGTTATATTTTTCTTTCAGTAAGCTGCACAATAAATTTTGTCACACAGTCCTCATAAAGCAATATCTACATCAGGGAAAGCTTTAAAGAAATGCTTACCGGATCACCTCCAGATGCAAAGGAAATAGATTGCATATGGTGATTTGCTATGATCTGTATGGATCAAACAGAATAAGTGTGAGTCAGTCGGTTTTCTTACAGATTAGCTTTTTGATTTCTTTTTTGGTTTGTATGGGGTGAAAATCCAAAACCAAGATCAAAATGACCTCTGCATTTCACCTACCAGGGGTGCAAATAGCATGATAATAGAAACAAACTTAAGGATGAACATATCTATTCTGGTGTTCTTTAAAACCTAGCAGGACATGGCAAAATTGTTAAATGTGCTCGAAACTCCGGTAAATCGTACAGATCTGTCATTCGGAGAAATTTTAATCTGCTAAAGCTCACTTTCTTTATTACAGATAGTGATGAATGGAGCAAAGGGTCCCATTCATCAAACACTCTGGTGAAATCAATGAAATCATGCCAATCTGCACACCAGCTACAGATTCTAACATTGCTTCCACTCCTACTGTGTCATTTTATGTTTTAAACACCAACATGTTTGCAATATGCAAACAGAATTTTGAATCTAGCTGAAATGTAGCATTGTGGACAAAATCTCAGGCATACTCCAGGTCAGATGAAATTAAATTTGCTTACTTGCTATTTGAACTAATATGATAATTCTCTGGGAAGCGACACATTGCCATGAACCTCTAATATAAGAACAGCTCTGCTCCATTGCTATTCTGAGATTTAACTTAGGAAATCTTTTAATACTGAAATCATGTAATAACCAAGAAAGAAAAGGTCATTTGAAAGAAAATTTCACTTGATCATTGAGTCATAGACATCATTCCAAGGAATTAATCTGGTATAGGACAGGCCCCTTATCTAGTGCCTCACAGCTTGTGATAATAGTAATTTGGATCTTAATTGCCCACTTTGGAGAGGGTACCACATACTTGAGAAAACCATTTTGGAAAAAAAATGAGGTTAAAAAGATATTCTCTCGACTGTTCTCCCATCCCACATCTTAAAGACCTGAACTAGGAACTATCTTCCTTGCAAAGAAAAAAGCCTGACATGAGTTTCTCTGGATCTTGCTGCTTCACCAAGTTAGAGACAGCTGACAACTATTTGTAGTCCTTCTTTCATTTAAACAACACTTCATTTTCAATTTTCCTGCTTGTCCCACAGCAGCCTCTGAAAATATAGTCAATTTTTAAGTGTTCAGTGGTGAACCATCATTCCCTTACTTGTCAGTGAGGACTTCCTTCTCTTTTTCCCATAAAGAAGCGATCCTTACAATAGAGATGAACTAGTGAAGATTTGTTACACATTTAATATTGTCACTATATTGAATTGTGCAAATAACCCAATCTCTTATTTCGGCATCATAAAAACAAAAAATCATTTCAAATTATCTCAAAACTTATTTTTCCAAATGTCAAGAAAACTGAAGAATGCTTGAAACCATCAGTTCAAGTCAGACACTTTCTTTTTTTTTTTTAATTCCACAGCTAAACAGTTTAGTTTAGTTTGAGGCAGGGGTATTTTCCCCCCTCCAATACCAAAATGGAAACAAGGCATAGCAAATTACCAACACCTTGCATTGTTTAAAATGAAACAATTCCTAATGTTGGCACATAGTGTAGAAACATTTTAGTCTACCCAGATCTGCATTTTAAACAAATAAACACTACAAAACAAAAATTCGATTTCCACTCATCCCTGCTTAACATGTTCACAAAACTGTGCAATTGTTTACCTCATACCCCAAGGGCCAAAAACACTGTCTTGTCCTTTCTTGCCTTCCAGCTTGTCTGGGAAAAAGAGGCTACCAAAGAATTTCAAAGCCATTCTTTTGGGTGTGGGGCCTCAAAGGGCAAAGCAGCTGGGCCATGCCTATTTTAAAATCGAATGCCTGACACAAACAAGAAACAAGGGAGACCACAGCCAGACTGGGAATCTTTGAGAAACCAGATGTTTCCCAGGCTAGCAGCACCCAGACCAAGTCTATCTCAAAAAGAATGATGTGAAAGATAAACAGTTTTTTCAACTCAGACAAAAGTCAAGACATCTGGGGAAGGCTTCTTCCCCGGGATAAATCAGTTTAACTCCATTTTTACCCTGACATTAGCTGAAGACAAGGTCACTTTCAAGGTTTGGAACTTTTGTAGTAGATCTAATTAACATCAGGTTCCTATGCTAATGATCGGGAGCAAACTGTCCTTATGAAAAGCACTGCTGTGTGTATTCTATAATCAGGCTCCAAATTACTGCAATCAACCATAATATAGCTCCCACAGTCTCAGTGATCACTGCAGAAGATTATGATGTTTTATAAATAAGGATATCTAATGAAGATAAATTAATGAAAACATAATAATAAACAGCAAGCTTTCTAATAGACAATGTATGCATTCCTTCGTACTCTTTAATCCTGAGGCTCCTAAAGACAGCAGGATTATTTTTTTCCTCTCTAGCTGTATCTGGGCAGAAAGTTGCATGCCCTAGCACAGCATGTGTCTCAGAGCAAATAGCACAGGAGTTACTGCGCGTGTCTGTCTGCTTTCACTTTATACATAACCTGAGCAAGGATTTTTCTCACCTCATACATCATTCACAATCCACTGCAGTGATTCCCCAAAGTCTGTCTGTACCTTCAGCACAATGAAGAGGAAGAAATGGGCTGCCTAAAAAAAGCTCTGTAAACACTGGCATTTCACTGCACTGCAAAAACCCCCGAGGCTGTATTTTTAGCAGGTCTCAGGAAGAGATTGCCCTTTAAGGCTGTAAATGGGAAGAATGACAATAAAATTGGGGATGTGCATTCAATCCTTTAATCACTTACTACAAATGCACCCCTTCTAACACTTGGAAAGTTTGTAGCTGTACCCAACAAGAATTCCCAGGACCAGAAAAGACCATTTCAAGACATAGGTCTTTTAAGAGCAAAACTGAGCTACCTGAAACATGGCAAGAAGAAAAAGCTGTGTTGAATACCGGAATAAACTATGACCCCCTACTATGCTTAATATTCTGTTTTCATTCATTTTATTACTGTGGAATAATAACACTTTGAGCAACTGAATTTTTGGCAGACAGCAAATAATTGTGCAGTAGGATGTTCATCAAAAGCCTCAAATAATTGTGCAGTAGGATGTTCATCAAAAGCCTCACAAATGAATATGACACTTACCTGTTTTGTATCAGGAGTCATCAGGTTTAAGCTGGTGGTGGAGATATTCAGCATTATGCTCATTCCTGCAAACTGAAGATTGCTTTTTCCCAAGATGCTAGAAAGAACTTTGCTTGGTGGCTGTGAGGGGGGAGGGCGAAAAAGCACATTTTTGTTCTCTGTATATTTGGGATGACCTTCATTGTATGCAGGGCTAGCTGTAATTTTAAAGGTTTCTAAAAAGTTGCAGACTTTTCAAAGATCATTTCATTGCAACAGCTGTTTTCCTCTGGACATAATTTCTTATTTATATTACTACTACTACTACTGATGATGATGATGATGCTAATAGCTAGACCAGTATTCATCCACTCTTGACCTAACAAAATGGGGGTTTTGTGAGAGAGAAAAGTCTCATCTTCATCAAGGGACCAAGTGAGCAGACTAAGATGAATGCCTTAAGTCAGTAACTCAAAACGGCATGTTCCTATTCTGTAAAACCCACTTCAACTCCTGAAAAGAAATCTCTTGTTGGCTCTGTGTCTACTGAGTGCTCTATGCCCTTACCACATGGAAAATCAGATTCCAGAACTGATGGGATGCTCACAAAAAGGGATACATAGCGTCATTATGCTGGTAGACTTCTTAGAAGTAGGTAAAAGCCCAGCCATAGGCTAAAACCTCTCTATGCTACTGGCCTACTGGCAAAACCATGAGGAAAGTACAGACTAGGAAAAGATATCTGTCTTTAAAATTTATCTGAAATTCTGTTGCGGGGCAAATTTTATTCTCAGCCTGTAGGCTTACTTAAAAAACACTATTTCCTTCCAATAACTAATAAGCAACATTGCTTCTAAAACCCGTAATACAGCAAGGTGTCTCACTAGGCACTTGGAACTCTGTTTAACCTACTTTTCTAATGACATTTTGCATCATTTTCCTTTCCAAGGAAAAAGACAGTTTCCTCTTTACTTTCAGGTTTAAAAAAATCCCTTGAGAACTTAGAAACACCAATGAGATAAATTTGGTGGTAGGGGGAAGAACAACAATTTTTATTTCTGAGACAATTTTACCAATTTTGCTGTGACAGATGTTGTCACATTTGCCTAACTTTACCAGGCGAAGATTCTCCATTGCAAACAAGTGGTATTTCACCCTACCCCTTTCTGCTGGGATTCTGCCTAGACGATGGAGCAGCTGGGAAAGCAGACAGAACTTTTCCTTCACCTGCCTGTTCTCCTGTGCCCAGCACTACACACAAGGTCCATAATTAATTGCTTTCTATGCTCCTTCATTAGAGTTAGCATTAAATCCCAGCTTTGCTAGCAGGCTCCTGGAAGAACAGGCACTGCAAGACTGTTGAGAGCCCTGAGTGCAGGAGCCAAGTTAAGGCTTCCTCTACTCCTTGCCTGCAGATCCTAACTACCACCCATAAAAACACTGTAATAAGTGTGTCAGGCTAATGCCCACTGAACTTGTCATCAATGCTGGCCACTAAGCATCAGCCACAGGTGTTTTTGGAAAGACCACAGGGAACAGAGGGTCGCTTGGTATGTTGTCTCCATTTCCAGAAATCTATGATTTCCAAACTGATTGTCACCAGTAGAGCCAGACTCCAAGAACAGGTCTAATCACTTTCAAAACTATGTAAACTTTTGGACTCTGTAATAGCTTCCAGCATGTATTTCCACAATTTACTCATGCATTTTATGGAAAGGCATGCCTTTTTATTTGTTTTAAGCCTGCAATCTACAAAAGAAAGAAAAGGAGGGGGTTTCAACTGTAGGAACATAAAGGCAAGGCACAATCTTTTTCCTGAGATGTACTCATACTTCTAGATGCCTATAAAAGTAGATCCTGACCAAAGGGTAAGAGGCAACATACACTGGGTGAAAACAGCCAATATTTTAAATTGTGAATGATCTGCAATTCTCAAAGCTGCTTTAAAGTCACCTGCCTGCTGTGCCTCATCTCCTTTGTTGAACTAAGAAAATACAGTCAACCGCACTGCAAGAAAAGAAAAATACCTTTCGTTTCTTGAAGGCTCCTTTTGCACCAGGCACGGCTTCACAAACATGACTGATTGCTTCCCTGAAGAGACAGAAAAAAGCCTTATGGCAAACGAATGTGTAGGTTTCTTCATTATACTTGAAATGCACTGGGAGAGAACAGTTTCAGACTATATTTCTGCCCACAAGTGAGAATAGTTGTCAGCTCAGTTACTCTCTTCTCATCGCTAAAACAGGTGCCATTCAAATTTAGGTTCCTTCAGTGTGAAGCAGAAGACAGTAAATAGCCAATGTTACTGTAAGGAAAAATATCTTGATAACTACAAAGGATAACAATATTTTCTTGCAATGCAAAGAAGACATTTTCTCACCCTAAATTAGAGCATTTGTCTTGATACCATCTTCCAAGTCTCAACTTTGCACCTTATTAAGCCACAACGAATCTGACCATAAGACATGTCTGTAATCAACATCGCTTTACAACTTTTTTTCACAGCTTTCTTGTAACTTAAGGGTTAGTAACAATTATTTTTCTCACTACTATACTATGCATTTTTCCAATCAGAGCAAAACCACTTGGCTTTACATAATATCAGAACCCTAAAATACTCCTGGTAATATGCATTTTGTATACAATACATGTGGTGTACAAAATTTTAACTGATATCTGTTCAATGTGACCTGAATAATTTATTTGTGACTCTATTTTTACATTGTAAGAAAAATTAATGCCATTAGCATTTTGCTTCAGTTCTCTAATACGTCTTCATTCTTCCCACTGCAGTCACCTGAATGAAAGAAATGCATGTTGAAAATGAATTTGAATCCATATTCTCTCATAGAAGAGTAACTGTGTAATACAAAACCTCTTGGAATCACAGTGCTACAAACAAATCTTACAGGTCCTTTCAGTATTTGACTACTTACTAACTGAATAGTCAACCTGGTCAGAATTTGGAATTTGTTCCCCTGCACTGAGAGACCTTCCTGTGACCATTAGCTATGAAGCTGTAACAGACCTGTCCCCTTGATACTGTAAGACAGAATGGTTGCACAGGACAAGTAAAGGTGAATTCTAAACTTGTTTAACATGGATTGAAACTAATTATATTATATTTAGACCTAAAGACATGCAAGCATTTTATGAAAGAAAAAAAAGAAAACAAATGGGAGACAATGAACTACAAGCCAAAGTCAAAAGAATCAAAGCCTTGAAACACAACCTTGACAAAAACATAAATTATTTTAATTTTATTCCATGTGCAGAATATTTCAACTATGCATTATGTGAATGCACAGGATCAACAAGTGAGTCAGGAGAGAAATTTCGTATATGTATCAGCATTCAACATATAATGGCTCAGCAAATATAAAAGATGCATCTGGTTGCCATCAGTAATACCTATGTAGTTATGCCTTGGGTGATTTTACCTAGGGCCCAATTCAAAGTTTGAATCACCTGAAAGCATTGCACAAATTTATTATTTTTGGGGGGCGGTGGTTGTGGGGGTGGTACAGGCTTTGCAGCAAGTTTAAAGTCTTGTCATTCTGAAAAAGTGTGAGATTTATAGCGAGAGAGTCACAAAGGGTTTCAGGCACACAATCCTATCTTCAGGTCCAGAGGAGACCTTTTTTGTTCCACAACTTGTCTTTTTCTTTTTTTTTTTTTTTTCACCCCAACTACACCTGCTGATTTAATAAAACTGCCTCTCGCTACAAACCCTGCCTTCCATATGCTCTCGGACCATCACAGCTACAACTGCACTCCATCTCACAGCTCAATGCTTGTATTTAGTTCCCACATTCAGCACACTGCTTCTTTGAGTCCAAACAAGTGTTTTAGTTAAAATAGCTACTAACTTTTCTTACAAAGTAAAAATCAGACAGTTTAAAAGAGCAGCCCCGATGCATCTTAGATGCATCACAGCAAGCACACACACACTGATCACCATGATACTGAGACACAGGATATTCCTGAAAATGTAATCAGGGGAAAGAAATATTCTTCTTTGCCACCAAAAGTGCTTTTCTTTGACTCAGAAAAAGCAAAAAGACATTATGTTATACAGAGCCATCCCCTCAGCCTTGCTACTGAGCTAAAAGTTGCGGTTTCCCACAACTGGTGGTTTCTTGCACCAGTCCAAATCCTCTGCAGGCAATGGGGTGGGAAGCCCAGGCCTGTGGCAGTCATCAGCCTACTGCTGTCTTTCAGACCTGTCCATTTTGCTTCCCCAGGTGTGTCTGAGCTGCCCAGCATTTTGCCTGCGAGTGGCTGCCACAGAGGCACCACCAGCATTTCATCCTCTTTGTCTCCTCCAGTGGTCTGATTAGCGCACTCTGATCCTTCAGAGGTTTTGCGTCTCACAAAAAGGGTTTGCATTTCAGAGATATGAACTGTGCTTGAGGGCTACATTTGCCTGTAACTTCCTCTCTCTTCCTATTTGCTTCCACCATCTTCCTTCCCTGACGGCACCATGGAGCAGGTAGGAGAAAAAGGGAATTTTCAGGTCCTTGCACCTGACAAAAATGCTTACAGGTTTGTTATTTTTCTGGTACAGGGCTGGGATTTGTAGTGGTTTTGCTACTACCTCTTCTGCCTGCCAGCTCCCGCTAATCAGATATAAAGCATGTTACTCAATAGACCCGTCTGACTCAAGGATCTTGTTGATCAAAACTGCCACTTGATTGTAGGACAAGAAACGCACCAGCTGAAGAGGCTGAAGCCCAGGGCTGAGGGTTGGCAAGGCAGCCTTGGTTACTGCTTGTACACCCTGCTTCAGCAGAGCAGTAAAAGCACTAAGTGGCTGAAAAGCTAGGATATACATCCTCTCACTCTGTAACTGAGATCTTCCAACTACCTGCCTTCCTTTTAGTGAAATATCTCAGTTTTACTGAACTCGGTGTTCCCCAAGTCTGCAGGAAGACTGCAAGTGTGGGGAAGGACATGAGAAAGATGACAACTTGTTGAGATACGTGTCAGATGAGGCAGGACATCTGAACATGTATTGGACAATTTTTTAGCTTCAGTTTTTGAAACTCTGTGAATATTAAATGTACCCAAACAACTGCAGGGTTTAACTTAAGAATGCTTTTGGTGAAAATCCTGGGAACTTTCTGAAAAGATTCATAGATCACTTCTGCCTAGGCAAGGTCAGAGCAGCCTGGAAGCAACTCTTTGTGTACCTGCAACAAAAGACACAGTACCTTTCCTACCTGGGAGTTAAGAAGCCTTAAAGAAGTATCTGATGAAAACAGGAAGAAAAAGGATGGCTGAATATCTTCCACTTTTTCCAGGGGAAGGTTCCCTCATCTCTCTGTTCAGAATATTCTAGATCATTTAGGGGTGAGATCTTTACACAGATAGCCTGGCAATGTGGAAAAGACATCCTAAAGACTTCTTTTTGGCTTGCTTTGCAACGCAGCATAGGGCAGATGTAAGCTTTTTTTGCAGCAAATCAAATTTGCAAATGCCTCTGCAGCAAGAACGTCTGAGCCACAAGTCAAGCCCAGAAATAGATATTGCTGCTAGGTCGAGAATGCCATTACCTGACTTGTGCATGGAAACACTTGTCTAAGGAAGGCAAAAGCAGACATTCTGGACATATCTGCATAGCTACACAGTTGCACAGAGTTTGGAAAACTTGGATGTGACTTTATTCGCTTCCTTACCAATACCAAAGTTATTCAACATAGACACACATTACACCTTTCCAAGCCAATGCTGGGCAAGGCTCAGATAAATACCAGTGTAGAGTTATCTTGTTCTCTTGTAAAATTTGGTATCGCACTGTCTGCATGCTGAGTTCCAAATCTGTCCAAGAGTATTTTCTGCTTTGCAGATGGTTATACTGTGGAGTCATTTTCTTGGCACAAAACATGCTGTGTATTTTGAATATAATTTCAGCATGCACATTTATCCAGGGAAAAATTACAAATATGCATTTTCTGAGGCTGACCTATTCCGCTTTAAAGTGACTTGACATATCTCTGAGACAGAAAAATGTAATTTTGCGTTGCCATTAAAAAGGCTAATGCCCTGATATTTTTCATAGCTTTAGTCATATTTTACTCTGACTGTTATATAAAGTAGCCCACTCAGGAAGCTCAAATCTGTTCCTCTATGAAACACTGTCACATGAAAATAGCCTGCCTTCTTGTGGTTTCAGTGTGTTTTTTTGGTTGTGATGCTATGTTTTGTTGTTTCTGGTTTAATTAATACAATTTAATTGATTAAAAACCAGGATTCTGGAACTCATATTTCAGGGAAATGACAGGCACACACAGAAATCGCACAGATTTCCTCAATGTATTTGGAAGAAGTATAGCCATCTCAAATATTGACACAAGAAACTGGGACTCGTTTTTAGTGTGAAATGTTTTGTATTATGAGACTTGAAAACCACCAATATTCTCTTGTCAATATCTCCTAGTATCCTACAGTTCCCAAGTTTATCTTTGCCACCTGCAAAGCATAGGGCTTCACAGGTTAAAAAAGCAGACATCAAACAATGGATTTTTTAAATGAAAGCATAACACGTCCAGAAGAACTGTGCAGAAGGCTCCCAGTTATTTTTTAACAGTATTATATTCCTGCCAATGTTTTTTATAATTCATAAATCATTGCCACATGTTGTACCAGCATTTGCTGAGGAGAAACAAAGTTTATACCAAATGTAAAAATAATTTGATTCTGAAAAAGAAAAAAAAAACAGAGACCAAAACTACTTTTTTAGAAATCAGTTTAATAATTGAAATATTATTTGTTCATTTGGGAAACAAGCAAAATGAGCACGTCCTGTCTGAAGAAGCACAGAGGACATTCACAAGCTCTGGAGACTAAACAGTGTATTACTGTTTACAGAACTTTAAATGCCAACTGGGAAATTGACCATGTCTGGAAGACATAAGGCTGGAGAATAACTAAGGAAAACAGAACAGAGAGTATGGATAGAAAACAGAGGCCAACTGTGGGTGTGCCTACTGCCACGAATTCAGAGTACCATGGCAGGAGTACCCTGCAGGGGAGCCCCCCTAGAAAGTGGCACAGAGACCATTTGTCACAGCAGTCCAACTGAAGTGAAG